TCTCAAGGAACTTCTTTTTTTATTTTGGCTGCTCCAAATGGCACGTGGGATCTTGGTTCCCTGACCAGAGATCAAACCTGCACCACCTGCATCAGAAGGGTGGAATCTTAACCACTGGACCGCCAGGGAAGTCCTCAAAGAACTTCTTACCGAAATTCCTTTGTTCATCACACAGCATCTATTGAAGGATGCACCCAGAGCTCAGGTGATAAAGCAATGACTCACACAGTCCACTACTTATTTATAGCTCAGCTTCTGTGTCTTCCCTTCTACATATCGGAACGGCCTGACCACAAGAACACGACTGTATGTCTCTACTGAACAGGAGACAGTTGTCCTTCCTACCTGTGCAGCAATTCTCTCTCAGCTCCAAAGATTAGAAGACTCATCATCCCAACGGTTATTGTATCCATCACAGGCTGTATTAGTTCCTCCTCAAGTTTGGTCATGGTCTCACTGAAAATTTTGTTTCCTGAAGTTGACTTTCAATAACTCATGTATAGAGACCTCCCTGGTAGTCTAGTGGCTAAGACACTGCAACTAAAAAATTCTGAGTGCAGCAACTAAGACCCAGTGCAGTGAAATACTTTTTAAAAAGAAAAACAATAACTCACGTATATAATTTTTTAAAGAGGGGTAAAGGAGAGAGGAGAATGATTACTTTATACAAAACAATACACTTGGGCTTCCTTTTGGGCCAGTGGCTAAAACTCCATGCTTCCACTGCAGCAGGCACATGTTCCATCTCTGATCTCTGGTCAGGGAAGTTCCATAGGTCATACAGATGCAGTATGGCCAAAAAAAAAAAAAAAAAGCCAAACCAAACCAAACAAAAAACAACGCGTGTGTGAAACAAACATAGAGACACTGTGCAAAGCTGTCACTGAATCCACCCTTTTAAAGGGATGATTACACTTAATGAGGCCCCAGGGTGGGCTCTAACTCAATCTGACTGGTGTCCTTCTAAGGAGAGGAAATTTGTACACACGGAGAGACACCGGGGATGTATGTGCACAGAGGAAAGACCATGTGAGGACACACCGAGGAGGCTGCCATCTGCAAGCCGAAGCAAGGCCTCGGAAGAAACCAAAGTTGCTGGCACCTTGATCTTGGACTTCCAGCCTCCAGACTGTGAAGAAACAAATTTCTGCCAATTTAAGGCCTCCCCTCCCCTCCCCTCCCCCCACACAACATTGTGTTATAGCAGCCAGAGCAGCATCCTGAGACAACCTTCCTCAGAAGGTGGTCTCACAAAAGTGTTCCAACTGCCCCTGGCTGACAGGGATTGAGATACATTCCGATTTCACAGAGGCATGTGTGTGAGAACAGTAAGCCCCTTTGAATCAATTGAACTAACAACACTGGTGCCTCTGGGTGGGGGGGTGGGGGGGTGCTGAGGATAGGGAAATGATGGGGGCAGTGGTGTGTGCCAGGAATAGAAGAGACTTTTTACTGTACCCTTTAAAAATAGGCTTCCCTTGTGGCTCAGCCGGTAAAGAATCCACCTGCAATGTGGGAGACCTGGGTTCCATCCCTGGGTTGGGAAGATCCCCTGGAGAAGGGAAAGCCTACCCACTCCAGTATTCTGGCCTAGAGAATTCCATGGACTGCATAGTCCAAGGGGTCGCAAAGAGTTGGCTACAACTGAGCGACTTTCACTTCACTTGCAAAATAGAGGACTTCCCCGGTGGTCTGGTGGTTAAGAATCTGCCGAACAATGAAGGGGACACGGGTTTGATCCCTGGTCCGGGAGGATTCCACATGCTGTGGATCAACAAAGCCTGTGCAGCACAACTACTGAGCCCACACATTGCAGCTACTGAAGCCCACTCACCTGGAGCCCGTGGTCCGCAGCAAGAGAAGCCACCACAATAATAAGCCTGCGTGCTGCGACTGGAGAGTAGTCCCCAGCTCACTGCAACCAGAGGAAGCCCGTGTGCAGCAACGAAGACCCAGCACAGCCAAAAAACAAATAACTAAAAATTATTATTTTCAATTATGGAATTCTATTTAATTATAAGAATTCTAATAATAAAATTTTAATTTGAAAAGGGGATATGGGTCACAATGATAGATTAGTAAGGTTCATGTGGTGGGGAAAACATCTGAGTTTCTTGGTGAGCAGACTATCTCTGGGGAGGTGAAATGGGAGACAGCAAAGTGGGAGCAGCATAGTCACAGAGGCTGACATTTTTCACAAACACCTTTGATCTTTTGATTTTTGTACTATGTGTATTAACTATATAATAATGCAGAAATATCATTAACTTAAATTTTTAAAAGGTTTAACATCATAAGTTAGTATCAGTTGAAAGATCCTTACCATTTATTGAGCACCTATTGTGTGTGTGTGTATGTGTGTGTATAGGGGAGTGCTGTGCAAGGCACTCTGATGACCTCTCCATTAGTACTGACAAGTTTTTGGTCAAAAAATAAAAAAAAAAAAAGAAAAGCATATTTCAATATTGGGAATTCCCTAGAGGTCCAGTAGTTAGGACTTGGCACTTTGACTGCCAAGGGCCTGGGCTCAATCCCTGGTCAGGGAACTAAGATCCCACAAGCCGTGTGGTGCAGCAGGAATAAGAAAAGTACATTATCCCCATGTTGTAGAGCGAGACTTATATTGAAGGGTAGAAAACCCATCTAAGGCCATACAGTTGATGAGTGGTACAGCAAGGACTGAACCCAGGACCCACCCTCAGCTGGAAGGTGTGGATGAACTGAAACCTGGGTCCTTAGTCCTTCCCTGTCCCCACCCCTCCTTAGCCCAGGGAACCCCTAGGAAGTGCTGGCCCAGCTGACATCAAGGCCAAGTTGCCTTGGAGGACAAGGAGGGCCCATTGCCCACCCAGGGTCATGTCTGGAGACCCCAAGGAGCCACATGGGCCCCCAGGTCTTGGGTTGGTAGGCTGATGGGTGCAGGATCGGGGCAGCCCAGGGCACCTGGGGCTGGGGCTTGGGGTGTTTCTGGAGTACCACAGCAGTGCCTCCCTATCAGGAAGGGGATAGGAGTCCCTTCCCCCTCAGATGCTAGGCTCTAATCCAGAAGTGAACCCACTGTTGGACTCCAGTCTTCACCGACCTTGCAGCTCCATTTGGTTCCAAGCCTAGGCTTTGGTCCAGTTTATTTGTCCCCATCCACAGAGTCTGCAGGATGACCTCTGACCTCACATTTTCTCACAGCCTTCAACTGGCAGTCTGGACTCTGGCTGGGATCAAAACCAGCCTGTAAGAGATACGAGGGTGGTCGTGGGCACCTGGCCCTGCTTCTTACCTGGCCTCCTGCCTCAGTCCCTGTCACCCATCTTTCCAGGACTCTCTGGGGCCAGGTCTGTGGCCCACACCTCGAGACGGCTGGCCCATTGCCCTCCGTGCTACCCTTAGCTCTGGGCAAGGTCCAAATTGGTCCTTCATGGGGTGAAAGCAAAAGTGTTAGTTGCTCAATTGTAACCAACTCTTGTGACTCCATGGACTGTAGCCCATCAGGTTCCCCTGTGCATGGAATTCTCCATGCAAGAATACTGGAGTATGCCCTTCTCCAGGGAATCTTCCTGACCCTTCTTGACCCAGGGACTGGACCTGGGTCTCCCCCATTGCAGGCAGATTCTTTACCACCGTCTGAGCCACCAGGAAAACCCAAACCCTCTATTTTCTTGACCCCTTTCCTCTCTCCAGACAGAAGATCTAGCTCAGGGGCCACTAAAGCATCTCCAGCCAACCTGACCTGGCAGGGTGTGGGGCCAGACACAGGTGAGGGTGGAAGTGGGGAAAGCCGGGCTCCTTCTTCTGCATGACAAAGGGTGGGGGCTGCCTTCCCCGCCTGACAGCTAATTAGCCCATTGTCAGAAGTCTCCCAATCCACACTGGCTTTTTCTCTTTGGCCTCTGGCTAGGGTTACCAGATTTAGCAATTAAAAATATAGGACTCCTGGTGAAAGGTGAAATTTGAATTTCAGATAAACAACAAATGATGTGCTAAAGTATGTCCCAAATTGTGTTCTGTATTTTATCTGGCAGCCCTACCCCTGGCTGATTGCCCAATTGTTTTACTTTCCCACTAAAACTCCTCAACCATGCAAATCCACATTCACTTGGTGAAGCTCAGGAAATTGAAGGACATGCCCCCTACCCACACGGAGCCCCTGGTCACCTGGGTTGAGTCCACTTGGCTGCCTCAGGGGATTGAACAAGGACTCTGGCTGGAAACAGCTGGAGGTTGTGGAAAGAGCAGTGGGCTAGGAATCAGACTTGACTTCATACAGGCATCCACCATTAACTGTTGTGAGTCAGGGGTATTGTTGCCTCTCTGAACCTTGGTTTTCTTAGCTCAAAAATTGGTGGAGGGAATGGGCTGGATGGTTTTTTCAACTCTAATCTCTGCATCCGTGAACAGCCAGGGAGAAGGAGAGGATGAGGTTCCTTATTGGACAAAATCCCACTCGTGCTAAACTACCCCAGGCTCTCTTGTCTAGGAAGGTCGCACCTTCCCCACCAAGCACTGGGAAAAACATTGGGTTTTCCGACTGTGGACATCCCAGGAGCTCAGCAGCCCCCAGGAGTCCTTTGAGCCCCAGGCTCAGATGCTCATCTTTGTAGGCAGAATCCGTCCTTAGCCAGAGAGCCCTGGTGTTGGGTGCGCACACACAGTAGCTGTTGCAAGAATCAGAACTCTAAATCCACACCAGGGACCGGAGTTTGCTCTGTGACTGAGGGACAGGGAAGTGAGCAGATAGAGATCCTTGACTCTTCTTCAGGGAACAAGCTTTTTAATTTAACTGGTCTGGCAACCCCGGCCAAGGTAGAGGCGCTTGACCACAATAATACCATCTGTCCATAGTCTAGACAGCCCCCTCCTCGGGCTCAGGGACCTGTCTGGATGCTGAGTTCCCAGGAGGTCTGAGGGGTGTGACCTCCCTTCCTCCCGGCCTCTCCCCCCTCCCACCACCCTGGCCCAGCCCAAGGCTGCTATAAAGCTGGCCCAGCCTGGCTCTCAGCACACCCCGCTGCTGGGACCCTCCTGGAGCCTCCTCCGGGGACACGTCCACTCTGCCCCTCCTTCTCCCGAGCAGCGCCATGCGGCCCCTGTGGCTCTGCTGGGCCCTCTGGGCGCTGCCCCTGGCCGGCCCCGGGGCGGCCCTGACCGAGGAGCGGATCCTGGACAGCCTGCTGCAGCAGCTGCACCTCAGCGAGGTCCCCATCGTGGACAAGGCCGCCGTGGAGGGGCTGGTCATCCCGGCCCACGTGAGGGCCCAGTACGTGGCCCTGCTGCAGCGCGGCCACGGGGCGCGCTCCCGGGGGAAGAGGTTCAGCCAGAACTTCCGAGGTGAGGCCCGCCCTCCTGCCGCAGCCTGGTCCACGTGGTGGTGGGGGTGGTGGGGGGTTGGGGGGCTGTCTGGGGTGAAGGGTCCACAGGGCTGTGAGGGGGGACCATGGCCTGTGAGGATGGTGGGCCTGGGCCCCTGGTCTCTGTCTGCACTGAGGACCCCGCCTCTCAGGGCCAGGAGGAGCTGGGCTGGGCTGGACCGGCTGCCAAAGACAAGGCAAGAACAGGGAATTATGGGGCAGGGAAGCAAAGAGGAAAGAAGAGAGGGAAGGCAGATGTCCAGGTGCCTTGTGCTGGGGGACAAAGAGGCTGGCCTCCACAGAGCGTTGCCTCAGAGAGAAAGGACCTCTGCGTTCAGTTCTCAGCTCTGGTATTTGTTTTTGGACAAGTCACGCAACAACTCAAGCCTATTTGTGTTTCTTGAAGTGAGATTAAATTAGCTGTGACCACTTCCCAGAGCTGTGGGTATTCTTACCAGGTCTGAGTCCTGTGGCACCCTCTCACCTCCCTAGGGCTGGGGCTCACCTCCTCGACACCCACAGATAGACCAGGCCAGGTGCCTGGGGAGACGAGGAGGCCGGTGCTGGACGCCTCAGCAGGGGTGACTGCTGGCGGCCATGGGGCTGGCCGATCAGGTGATCACACTGCCAACCTGGAGCCTCAGGTGCTGGGGACGGATTGCTGGGGCCTCTGAAGAGGGTGTTGTGCCTGACCTCACCATTTCCCTCAGGGCTCAGTAACTCCACAAAAATTGCCTCTGTTCGTCTTCCTCCTTTTCACCGGGCAAGAGTCCCCTCACCAGGCAGGGAAATGAAAGTAAATTCAAACCTCTTTCTCTGTCTCTTAGGAAAAGTTGGTTTCAGCTGGTGATCATAGATTTTCACTGGCTGGTCCTCTGCCTCCTATCCTCCATCCCCTCTCCTGCCCCTTTTGCCAAAAGAAGCCTGCAGGTCTGCAGTCTTCACTCAGAGCCCCAGCCCTTGCTCAGTATCCCAAAGCTGCCCCTCCCAGATGAGGGGGGTCACCACTAGTAAACAAGCCCCAACCCCAGATGATGATTTTGGAGAGCCTGCTTGACCCTAACAGTTTTTCTAGGAGTGGAGATGCTCTGTTTCTGGCCTGGCCCATCACTTTCCCAGCCCCCAAACTCTCCCTGGGGATTCCTGGGGAAACCCTGTTCGCTTAGCCCTGAGCCCTGCACCCTCAGAGCTCGCCTGGTGCCCGGAGGGACTCCCCTGATCCCGCTCCTGTCCCCAGAGGTGGTCGGCAGGTTCCTGGCGTCCGAGGCGTCCTCGCATTTGCTGGTGTTCGACATGGAGCAGCGGCTGCCGCCCCGCAGCGAGCTAGTGCAGGCCGTGCTGCGCCTCTTCCAGGAGCCGGTGCCCAGGGCCGCGCTCCGCAGACACGAGCGCCTCTTCCCGCGCAGCGACCGCGCCCGGGTCACCGTCCAGTGGCTGCACGTCCGCGACGACGGCTCCAACCGCACCGCCCTCATCGACTCCAGGTGCAGAGGTCGCGGCTGCGGCGGCGTGGGGCTCGGGGAAGGGAAGAGGGGCTGGGCCCGGGGCAGGAGGAGGGGCGGCTCGGTCCCGGCGGGGACACCCGGGAGCGGGAGGGAGAGGTGGCCCCCGGGGCCACCCCGGGCAGTCCCAGTCCCCACCCCTGAGCGCGGGCCTGTGTCTCCCTCCGGGCGGTGTCGCAGACTGGTGTCCATCCACGAGAGCGGCTGGAAGGCCCTGGACGTGACCGAGGCGGTGAACTTCTGGCAGCAGCTGCGCAGCCCCCGGCCGCCGCTGCTCCTGCAGGTGTCGGTACAGCGGGAGCACCTAGGCCCGCTGGCCTCCAGCGCCCACAGACTGGTCCGCTTCGCCCCCCAGGGGCCGTCGGGCGGCCGGCAGGGGGAGCCCCAACTGGAGCTGCACACCCTGGACCTCAGAGACTACGGGTAGGTGCTGTGGGTCACTGCGGGTGAACCTGTTTTAAAATGGGCAATTTTACAGGGTGCTGTGGGAATGAATGAATATATAAAATATCTCCTTCCACTCTTGGGAGTAATGTCAGCTCTAATGATCATTTGGGGGGTTATTTCTAGTTATTTATCCTTATCACAAATATCCAACATTTTGAACATAATGAGAGATGGATCATAAATCTTTCCAGGTGTCCCACTAGGTCCCACCCTGGGCCCCATGACCCCTGCCCTCCCAGCTGACCTCTGACTCTGCCTCTCTTTGCCCCCTGCAGAGCTCAGGGAAACTGTGATCCTAAGGCACTGGTGACGGAGGGCACCCGCTGCTGCCGCCAGGAGATGTACATTGACCTGCAGGGGATGAAGTGGGCTGAGAACTGGGTCCTGGAGCCCCCAGGCTTCCTGACCTATGAGTGTGTGGGCACCTGCCAGCAGCCCCCAGAGTCCCTGATCTTCAAGTGGCCGTTTCTGGGGCCTCGACAGTGCATCGCCTCGGAGACAACCTCGCTGCCCATGATTGTCAGCATCCAGGAGGGAGGCCGACTCCAGCCCCAGGTGGTCAGCCTGCCCAACATGAGGGTGCAGACGTGCAGCTGTGCCTGGGACGGGGTGCTTGTGCCAAGGAAGCTGGAGTCATAGATGTGGGGTATAGTTATCAAGGACTTGGCTTGTGTGTGTGTTGAAAGTGTTCCGGGCACCAGAAGAGATGGGGATGACTGAACTGATGATGGCACATGCTCTGCGCTTCGTGCTGAGTTCTGACCAGCGCTTCATACTGAGTTCTGACCAGTTAGCTCGCCTTCTGATTTTTGTTTCTCAGGAACAAGACTCCCTGGACACTGGGAGCCCCTGCCCAGTCTTCTCTCTTCAACATTTTTCACTGCACTGTATCCTAAGCACTTACCTGTGTAGATATTGTAACCCAAGAAGAGAAATCCCAATTTGCCATTGTTTCCTTGTCCTCTTATTGGACCTGGGCTGAGCTCCGTGGTATGGCTGGGAGATACAATTGCTGCTCTGGGCTTAAGTAGAGGCTGTGCATTCCTAACTCAAATAATAAGCGCATTCTGCAAGAAACAAACAAAATACATTTTATTCTGTCTTTCCCAGAACCCTGCAAATTGTGAGAGAACAGAAAGTTCTATAGGAATTAGGTCAACCAGATTAGAAAATGAAGGAAAAGACTTTAAAAGACTTGTTCAAGGTCTCAGTTAAGTGATACAGGATGCTAGGATTGGAATGCATTGATTCTAATGTGGCTGTCTTCTTAAGATTGAGGCAGAACACTTTTTGTCATTGCTGTTGATATTTTTACTTTTCTGGGCACAGGGAGTGGGGCTTTATTTCAATTCTAATTGATACAAAATTTTTAAAATCTGTGATCAAAATCATCATCTACAAGAATGTGAATCACTCCTTTAGATTTGAGGGCAGATAAAGGGAGCAAATGATTAAATGCTGATGTAAGATTTTAGAATGCCAAGATTACACTAGCTTTAAACTGAGTTTGATATAGGGTTCAGGCCTGGGGCATGGTTGTCTTGGATTCCTTGCTTATCTTTACAGCTCAAATTAACTGTAAATTCTACATCCTCTAAATTTCCATTTACTTCTCTATCAGGAACAATCCTTGACTTCTCTGTACTTCTACTGGAAATTTAAAGGAAATAGTGTTTTTACAAGCACTCCACATGCTGCCTGACACATAGTGGGGCTATGGTTATCTTACCTCACATGCTGATCTGTCTAACCTTCTCTTGATTTTGAAACAACCTACTGAAAGTCAATTTAGAAATCCCTTCCCTCTCTGAAATCAAGGATCCTAACTTTTCCTTTCATCAGTGTTTCCACCAATGTAATCACTGGGGTTAGAACCTTGCACTTCCCTGCACAGGTTAGAACCTGTGCACAACCCAGACCACGGGTGGCTCCATTCATTGAGGCAGGGGAAGGATAAGGACAGAAGGTGGAGGATATGGGGGGAAGAGTGGGCAGAGTCCGTCTGAGGCGCCGGGGGAAGCCCAGTGGCCACACGCAGGCACCTGCTGGAGGTCAGTTGTGGGTTCCTTGGCCGCTGGAGGGAACTGCAGGAGGAGAGATGGCCAGGGCTCACAGGGGTAGGACTAGGGCTGCGCTGAGCGCAGAGGTCAAGGGCACACTCTGGAAATAACTAGTGATTGGGGGCTGGGGAGAAGAAGGAAGCCAGCAAATGGGTCAGAAAAGCACTGCTAGAAAAGCAGGAGACACACCCGCCCGGCTCTCTCCAGAGATCCCCAGGCTGGCTGGGGAGGGAGGTAAGGTGAACACATTTACCATGACAACAAAAGATGAAAGCCCAGAAATGGAAGAGAGGTCAGGGCCCTGCAAAGCTGTGCATGTACAGAGTGCGGAGCAGTTCAGGATTCACAGATTTTTAGTGCTGGAAGGGACCTGAGAGGAAGCTTTGGTCCACCCCCCCGCGGAAACGGAGGCCTGCGGAGGGCAGTTTGCTGCAGCCGGCGGGCTGTGCTCTTCGGTTTCATTGGGGGCGAGGTCCTCATTGAACGCCGACCTGTGTGTTGCCCAGAGCACACCCCGGCGCCCTCGGGGAGCTTACAGTCCAGCTGCTGGGGCTGCTGCTCATAGGGAACTCCCTGGGACCCAGAGCTCAGCGAGCTGGGCTAGATCGGTGACCCTGGCGGCCCGGTATCAGCAGTTCCGGCTTTGGCTCCAGGGCACCAAAACACCGAAAACACTGCGACTTCTATTTGGGGCTAAATGTAGGAACCCCGCGGCCCCCCGGCCTCAGGGCTTTCACTGTCAGGCTATTCAGAGCGATAGCGAAGCAGCAGTCTCCCGCACTGGGAGCCAGGTGAAGACGGACTACGTGGAGCTGAGGTGCGGCCTGAGTCCACCCGATTTCCCTATCCCCCCCCTACCCCGCCCCGATACAGGCGGGCCTAAGAGCTGGTCTAGGAAATTCAGTGCACTACAGAAAAATCAAGAACTTTCACCAATGCGCTGCCCCCGCCTCCCACGGATGCGACCACCCGGTACTAGGCCCGGGGCTTCCCAAGGTGTCTGTCGGGGGAAGGGGGACGCGCCGAGGGGCCGGGGAGAGGAATCAGCCCTGGCGGCACTCTCCTCGGTCCCAGGACGGGAGCCGGCCGGGCCGGGGCGTGCAGACGGCAGGGAGGAGCTGCGCGCTCTGAGCAGGGGCCCCGCGGCCGGGCCTGGATGGAGGAGCGCCGAGGGGCACACGGCGCCGGGGGCGGGAGGCTGCGGCTGAGCTGACGCCCACTCGGGCGTAACTGCAAATTGGGCAAGCAGAGGACGCGGCTCTGCGCATGTGCAGGAGAGCGGGAGTTTCACTTTGTAACTTTTAAGTGGTCAGGACGCAGCCCCGCCCGACCAGGTGGAGCCACACAACTTCTGGTCTGCCCGGGTCGCTGCGCCGCCGCCGCAGGTAAAGGGGAAAGGGCGTTGAGAGGGGGGATGTCGCCTTATTCTTTCCCGAGACGGGCAGGACCCGGGGTCTACGCCAGGGTGCCACGTCTGGTGTCTGGTTCCGGGGTGCGGCCCCCCTGCCTCCGCAGCAGGGGTGACCGAGTGGCTGGGAGGACAGGGTCTGTCCCCTGGCCGCTCAGACCTCGCACCCCGCTTCCAGCGCCGCGCCTGATGGCTTTACGCGACTTCCCAATCCAAGGCTCCAACTTTTCGCTTTTATGGCTGATCCCTTTCTCTTCCCACCCTCTCTCTGGAGATTGGTCAGCTGGAATCGACCTCCCAGCCTAGCCCGGGGGCGCTTTCTTCTCTAACCGAGATATGCGAGGCGGGTCTGGGTCCCCTGAGTCCCCTGCCCCAGGGAAGGTAGAAACCATCCTCTGTGGAGTCCTGAGGAGGGAAGCTAGGGGGTTTGGAGAATAGGGGGAAGAGGAGAGCTCTGCTAAGAAACCCAAAACGTAGAGGTTCCAGTACCTGATAAGCCTGGCTACCTGAGCCTCTGGGGTGGCCTCTTTCAGCTCAGTAGGTGTTCTGAAAAACAGGGGTATGCAGAATGACACCCTTTCCCCCTTTGCTTCCTTCTGTGCTGAAGTTGTGTGGCTGTATCCAACCCCTAGAGTGTGGAAGGTTTGAGGTTAAGCCAGTGGATTGTGCTCACCAGTCCAGGCCTAGTGTGTACAAAGGGGCTGTGGGTGGGGGCATCCTGAGGACCTTCTTGGGCCCTGGCTCAAGCAGAGTTGTGGACTGTTGTTGGGGATGAGGAAAGACTTCAGGTCATCTCTTATTGGAGAAACAACCCCTATTTCCCCTCTCCTCCTCCATGCTTGTCTTTCTACTTCCTTCCTCTGACACCTGTTAGAGAGTCCTGAGTCTGCTGCTGTCTTGAGGTGGAGTGTACAGAAGGAGAGGCTTCTTTCTGCCTTCACACACCTCTTGTCTGGGCTTCCCTGGTAGCTCAGATGGTAAAGCATCCACCTGTAATGCGGGAGACCTGGGTTCGATCCCTGGGTTGGGAAGATCCCCTGGAGAAGGGAATGGCTACCCACTCCAGTATTCTGGCCTGGAGACTCCCATGGACAGAGGAGCTTGGCAGGCTATATAGCCCATGGGGTCACAAAGAGTCAGACTCGACTGAGCAACTTTCACTTCACTTCACCTCTTGTTTGTTTAGTTTATGGGCAAAGATCTCCCTTGGGTGTTCATTGTGCTCTAACAGGAAAAATGTCAGATGGGGTTTTGCTATCATGTTTCCCATTGTCTGGAGAGGTGACTTAAAAGCAGTTTTGGAGTGCCCATGAGGGCTCAATGCTTTATGGGCATTGCCTCCCACTCACCCTGCAGGAAGAACATCCTTGTCTCCATTTTACAGAGAAGGAAGCCAAGGCACAGAGTGGTGAAGCCACGTGATGCTGGGAGCCTCATTCCAGAGCCTGCTCAGGGGACTGCCGGGTGCCCTGCCTCCACTGCAGCGGGGTTCTCTGCCACTTCCCTAATGTTCCCCTGCTGGTGTCTGTGGAGGTGAATGGTTGTCCAGGTTCCTGGACCCTGTTTGGTGGGGCTTTAAGGAGAAGTTTGCAACCTGCCATCTAGAACATCAGAGTCTTCTCTTATGGCAGAGGGCCTGGAACTATTTGTCGTCCTGCCATTGTAGTAACAAAGTCAGAAGCTTTGGTGATGATAAAAATACCCTGAATTTTCGAGAGCTGATGATGCTCACACATTCTGCTCCTGTTTGTGGCAGGGAGGCACAGAGATCTTCTGGTGTGCTACAGGGGCCAGCAGCTGCCAGCTTGGGTGGGCAGGGGGTCAGTTAGCATGGGTGGCTGACTTCTTTGGCAGTTTGGGGAATGGCCATTGCATTGAGCCCTCTGTCCCCTGGCCACAACCAGTCTCTGCGGTGTATGTGGGTTGAACTTTGAGTTGGGTCCTGAGTCACCTGCTGCTCACCTGACTCCAGGGCCTCAGCAGTATATCTTGGCTTTCCTAAATGAGATGATGAGCAGAGAGCTCCCTAGAGAAGGGATGGATAAGACCCGGCATTCACAATGTGTGTCTGACAAATATGGGGTGACTGAACATGACCAGGCAGGGCACCCGTGGCCACAGGGCCTAATTGCTGGTTTGGCCCCTGCCCATCGCCATCAGTTTTTCAGCCACTGAGCCAGCTCTCTCCCAGTCGCCATCAGCTGAGTCTCCTTCTCTCCCTCTCCTGCTTCTCCTGAGTCTAGGGGGGGGGGCGGCTTCCCTGTGGTCCATATGTTGCCAGCTGCTCTCTCAGCACGCCCGTTGGGGAGGATGCAGGTGGCTGGCCCTAGAGGGACTGTGGTGGTTCCACAGTGTTGCAGACTTGTAACAGGCGGAGACAGACCTCAACTAAGCAGAAAGGTCTGAGAGACACTGCGGGCCCCCAAAGCCATGCCCGCACCTGGAGGGCGCAGACGGAACAGGCCACCTCTGAAGAGTCCTGAGGTTTCATCCCAGGCTGGCTGGCTGACCTCACTGAATCCTTCTTATCAAACCTTGTTAAACCACCCAGGGGAGCCTGTTTGACCCAGAGGCGTGACTGGGGCGGGAAAGATGGGGAGGAGCCTAGGTCCCTGCCTCCCATTAGGCCTCTGCTCTCTCAAAGCTCCACACAAAGAATTAGTGAGGCCCACACCTCCCTCCCCACCACCTCAGCAGCACCCCTTGCCCTTGACAGTGCTCCCTCTGTGACCATTTTATGGGGATTCCCCCCCCCCCCCACCACCACTTCACTGTTCAGGCCTTCCTAGTTCTGTTGCTTTTTTTTTTTTTCTTCCTGATTCTAGTCTTTGGGGGACCTGGAGAAGCCTTCCCAGCTACCCTTGGGACCTGTGTGAGGTCCTGGACTCTGTTTTCCCAGAGCCTACAGCTGCCAGTGCTTCTGTGGGGGGAGTCCCACTGCCCTGGGCTCACCAGGGCCTTGAGGATAAGAGGGGAGAGACTGGAGCTTTAGGTGATGCTGGGGAGGAGAGAGGAGAGGAACAGGGCGCACAGAGGAATAGCATTAGGTGCCTGGAAAGAGAGCCAGGACAGGAGGGAGCCTGTTGGGAAGAACCAGAGGCTCTGGACGAGCGTTTGAGTTCCAAGACACCGGGCAAGTGTGAGTGCAGGGATCGTGTGCTGAAGGGTTTCACGCCAGAACCCCCGGCCTGGGAAAAGGACAGCTCCCACGTGACTCTGGTTATCTCCTGTGTTCCTTCAGGGAAGTCTTCAAAGGTTGGTGTCCCATGACCCCCATCAGGGAAGCCCAGCAGGAAATGAGCAGCGGACCTGAGGCAGCTTGGGAGGTGGCCAGGGCCATCGCTGCCTTTGCCAGCGCCAACTGAGGCCCTCTCCAGGGGACACATCCACACTTCCTTCCCCAGCATCTGGTAAGTGTGGGGACAGGAAGGAGGGGCAGGCCTTTGCCAGCCAGCCTCAGACTGGGTGTTGCATTGGGGCGCTGCCACTGAGAATTAAAGGAAGGAAACTAAGCCCATCTGTTTGCCAGAGGCAGCTTTTGTGACTCTGCGCAGGGCCAGCAACTCCATGGCTCTGCCATCACACCCTCCAGCCACTACCAAATCTCTAATAGGGATGACAGAATGACTTGGCCTCTTGGGGAGTCCTCCCATGCCCGCCCCCCGGACCTACTGCCTCCCCCACCCCTCCTGTACTTCCTGCCATGTGTGCCTGAGATTGTCCCAAAAGAGCCGTCCCAGCAGCCAGAATTGGAAATCACTGGCTCCCCAACACACACCCAGACTGTATTACTGCATAGTCCAAATATCTGTCTGTTCTCTATACCGTTTCTTCTCTCCCAGATTTGTGCCCCTCTAACAGGTAGGAAGACCAGACTTAGCCGAGGTCCCCTGGGAATCTGGTCTAACTCAATTTAAGAAGATAGGACCTTGAGAGGAAGGGATGCTGGGCATTTTTCCAGGCTCATCAGCTGCAGACAGTGTAAAGGCAGGCCAGAACCTGGGCACTAATGCTGGGGCCTTAGGAGTTTGGAGATTTCCATTAGTTTCACCTGTGGTTACCAGGCGTCTCTGAAAGGAAAAGTCAACAACCAGCCTGGAGCAATATTTGCTTTGGAAATGCTGGACCTTCCAGAAAGGCCAGGAGTATAAGAATGAGAGGGCAGAGCCCGGGGAGTGCTCCAGTGATGCACAGTGGATGACTCAGGGGTCCCTGAGGAGGCTTGGGGCCCTGTCCTCTGCCCGTAGTCTACCTCCTCCCCCTTTGCCTTCTCTGTCTCCTCCTCTCTGCTGCTCTTCCCCTGGCTTTTTTTGTTTTTTTTTTTTAAATATTTTTCTCTTTTTAAAAAATATGTATTTGGCTGCATTGGGTCTTAGTTGCATCATGTGGGATCTTCCTCATGGTACTCAGATTCTCTGGGTGCGGCTCACGGGTTTAGGTGCTCCAGGGCATATGGGATCTTAGTTTCCTGCCCAGGGATGGAGCTCACATCCCCTGCATTGTAAGGTGGATTCATATCTACTGGGCCACCAGGGAAGTCTCCTTCTCTGCTTTTTAATCTCTCACCAAACAGGTGTGGGTAGTCAGCTGCAGAGGGAATGTGGCATAGCAGAAAGGGAACTGGCATCTGAGACCCAGGAGGCTGGGTCTGAGACTCAATTCTGCCCTGACCAGCTCTTTAATCTTAATGGAACTCTTAAGGCCCTGAGCCTCAGTTTCCAAGTGTATGGAGTGGGCATATCTCTGAGGTTCCAGCCTGACATCTCATGAGCTCTTGTCCATGGCTCAGATGATCAGCAGTTGTTGCATTTGGACACTCTTCCTCCTCTGTTGATTCCTCTGCCCCATCCTGTCCCCTGCCTGCACTCCAGGCCTCCCAGGGACACCCCCACCCCCCACCCCGCAGGAATGACTTCCTGACAGTCATCCCTGAGGCTGGAGGAACTTGGCACCCCTTAGGCAGACTCCTGTCCTTCCCTTTCCTCCTGTTCATCCCCGCCCTTGGGGAGGCGGCCAGCTGTGTCCTGGATGAGCCATCCGCCCGGTCCATCTGACCCTTGGGCTGCATGCACAATGGAGCTATTCTCTGTAGACTCTGCCGGGCACTCAGGGCTGGTGTCCGCCTCTCCCGGATCCCTGTGCGCCAGCAGCCCCTGGTGGAGACACCCGCCCTTGGCTCTGCCAGCGCTGGCTGCAGAAACCACGGGGGAGTTGCTGCCCTGATCCTCTGTCAGGTCTCCTTCTCCAGGGAGGACCAGCATGATGACCGACTCCCCTCTCCTGGAGCTGTGGCAGTACAGAGCAGTGGCCTCACACGAGCGGCTGGGCATCGGGGACCAGCCCAATGATTCCTACTGCTACAACTCCGCCAAAAACAGCACCGTGCTCCAGGGCGTCACCTTTGGGGGCATCCCCACTGTCCTATTCATAGACGTCAGCTGCTTCCTGGTGAGACCCCCGGGGATCACATCAGTTATTTGTTTAACACTAACCCCCTGCCCTGCCACAGGGCTTTCTGGGAAACTCAGGTGAGGAGCCAGACTTCCCTGGGTTTAAGTCCCAGTTCTGCTGCTTCCTGGCTCCGTAACCTTGGGCATTTTACATAGCTTATTGGGGCCTCAGGTTTTTGCTCTGTGAAAGGGAGGTAATAATTCTTATCTTGGAGATTCTTGGAGAAGGTTAAATAAGGCGAAGCATGTAAGGAATGTACATTACTGCTCTTTTGTTTATTGCCATTGTTAACAAGTTGTCAGCCCATCATGTGTCTAAGGCCCTTAGGAAGGGTCACTCTGCTGGGATGAGAGATGTGACTGGAGAATGTGGGTGAGAATTAGAGCAGCTGCAATTCCCAATTTATAGATGCCACCCCTGTTCCCCACTGGGATCCCTGGGCCTTTAGAGGATCAGACGTGGCGAAAAGGTGAGAACTGGGAGAAGGCGAGTACACCTTATTAGCAGCGCTCCTCACAGTGGACTTTTGTTAATTCAGACCTCCTTGTTTCCAAAGACCCCCACCACCATCACCCAATTTGAAATATGCCATCTTCCCCCCTAGACTGGCTCAAACTTGCTAGGTGTGATTTACTGGGGTGCTAGGGCACCTTCTTTTCAAAATTGTCCATGGGATGGTTGGTCCCTCTTGTCACCTTCTCTTCACATGTAGTGGAGACCATCTGGGTAACCGGGGTAAGAAGAGGTGGAGGGAGTGGACCCCTTGGACTGCTTTGGACCAGAGGCTAGGCTTCGGTGAGAACCTGGGAGAGGGGAGTTAGGGTAGCCTAAGGTGCATGCTAAGTCACTTGAGGGCCCCATGCCCTAAAGGAGGTGGCTATGCAACCCAAGTTTATTTGCAGGAAAAATGTTCATAGGAAGAGAGGAAGGGAGTTTTCACTCCTGTTTCCATTTTCCTCCCTAGAATTAAGGTCTAAATTGTTGCATTAGAGTTTTCACATGTTGTTGATCTTCTATTGGCAGATATGGAAACCTGTGTGCTACTCAGGTTGCTTTTACCATAAAGGGCTCTTTAAGTGTCAAGTAACCTACCTCTTGGAGCCAAAACCCATTGATAGGTTGAGAACAGTCCTCTCTACTAGGCTTGGATGGGCGGGGGGTGTAGGCGGGAGTGTGGTGATGGATTTCAGAGTTGGTGAGGTTAATGGAGGAGGGTGGTTCTGGAGCTGTTATCCAGCGTCTTCAGGGAGGGGAGAGTCTGGGCCAGGGAGAGAAGTCAGGAGACACAGGCTGGGTGGGTCTGTCTTGAACAGGGTTTGATGAGAAGAGAGTCACTGTCTGGTGGAGTGTGCTGTCGTGGTAGATTTTTATTGCAGGAAGATTTGGGGATTGGAGCCAGAGGAGCCTGAAAGACATCAAGGCATGGGAAACATCCTCAGCCCTTGAGCCAAGGCAGCAGCCAGGGCAGAGGGCTGGCGCTCATTGAGTAGCTTTCGTATTTTTCTGATGACGAGACTCACCTGCCCTTGAAACTATGTCACCAACTTCCACCTTCACCTTGAGAAAATTCTTCCGGGACTCAGCCACTCTGGGGTCCAAAACCCACATTTAAAAACTGCAGTCACTGACCAGGGCACTCAGGGATATGCTGATTAAAATGTGTCTTTCTACCTCCCTGGATTTTGAAGAGAGGGAGCCTGTCCAGGGTGGGGAGAGAGGCAGGAGTAGGGCAGAGGACCTGCAAAGGAAGGGAGGAGAGAGTCTAGAATCCATGGGTTTTTAGAGTGTAAACAGGGTCAGACTTGAGTCCAACCCCTTCCATTGCCATTGGGCATGCGGGGCTGCAGATGGCCCCAGCTTGTGGAGGCCAAGCCAGCCAGCACTAGGCCTTTGGTGGGCATTGCCCCCACACATGCTCTGTACCAGGCATCCCCAGGGCTTGCCTCCTGGAGAACCAAACTCAAAGTAAAGATCTGACAACTTTTAGCTCAGTCTTTGGGTGGGGAGGCTCTGCTATCATGGTTTTGTGATTAAAAATGCAACCTGATGTGGAGGCGGGAGCTGGTCCCCAGGGGTGCTGTGGGCCTTCCTGCTCAGGGGCCCCTGCAGGCAGACCAGGGCTGAGGAAGGTTGTGGCTGCCAGGGCTGCCTTGAGAGCAAAGGATAGGCCCTGGGAGCTTGACTGGGAGGCCGCCAGGGCAAGCTCAGTGTCAGCATTGATGGGGATGGGAGCTGGTGAAGGGGGTGAACGCAATGTTGAGCTCTTGAGCTGTGTGGCCCCGGGCAGTTCAGTGCCCTCTCTGGTCCTCTTGCCCTGCTGAGTCTAGGGGGTGGCCTGTGCCCTGAAGACAGCTGTCTCTTCTAACTAAAAGCCATCTGATCAGATTTTACTTGATTTCTTTTCTACTTTTAGTTTTTAATAGCAGTATTTACCATCATAAGAAGAAAATTCTGGGATTATGGCCGCATTGCCCTGGTGTCAGAAGGAAACAGGTAAAAAGACTCATTATTTCAAGTGTGTGTGTGTGTGTGTAGGTGGGGGGATAGGGAGAGAAAGCACGAGAGGCTGGGAAGGGCTTGTGAAGCCCACCAAGCATAGCCACACATGATGCCAGTGTTAGATTGTGCTCATTAGTATGTCTGCCAGGCCTGTACCAGAAACTGTTGTCTCTGCTCTTTACCGCAGAGCCGTGAGGTTAGCCTCGGTACCTTCTTTGTGGTGGTGAGAAAACCAAGGCCTGCACTCCCAGCTCTCCCTTGGGGCTTGGGGCTGGCCATGGCCATGAACCTTCTGCGTCAGACTACGGAAGGAATCTAGTTGCTTCAGATCCTTAAGGCTTTCATCATCAAAGAAGGATGCCTGCTTCCTTCCTTGCCTTGAACATTTCCAAGTGTATCTTCTTTGAGATTGATTAGTTCGGGGCTGGGGACGAGGAGAGGTGGGTTGGGAAGGGCAGCAGGGCTGCAGGTGAACTGCTCCCGTCCCCGGGGCAGAGTCTGCCCGTGGCCCGAATCCACCAGCTTCAGAGGGCCTGTGTCAGAGCACAGACTGCCTTGGCCAGGACTCAGGTGCTTACACCTCCACCCTGGGCTCTGCTGGCTGTCTGCGCATGTCACCTGAAGGGGGAGAAAGAGTTCTAGGTCTGTACAACTGGAATTTCCAGCTCCAGCTGCTCCCCCTCACCCCAGGCTTTTGTGTCAGCTGCCGAAATAGGAAGTGAGTGGGGAAACAAGGATAGACCCCGGCTCCCTGCTTTCAGCCTCCCCAGGCAGGCCCCTGCTCTTGCTCCACAGGCGGCGGCTCTGTTGAAATGTGGTCTATGCAGGAGGGTTGGTGGGGATGTCTATCGATGCATCTTCTTTCCCCACAGTCTCCACTCTAGTTTTGCAGAAGCCTGAGGGTCAGGCTGTGGGGCCTCTTGCTTCAGCTGTATATGAGCCTTGGACCATTTAGGGGAACTTTTGAGACACCTGGTACATTTTTGGCACATTCACCCTCAGGAGGACTGAGTGCCTGCATGCGTGTGTGCTTACTTGCTCAGTTGTGTCTGACTCTTTGCAATCCTGTGGACTATATAGCCCACCGGGCTTCTCTGTCCATGGGATTCTCCAGGTAAGAATACTGGAGTGGGTTGCCATTCCCTTCTCCAGGGGATCCTCCTGACCCAGTGATCAAACCTGGGTCTCCTGCACTGCAGGCAGATTCTTCACCACCTGAGCCACCAGTACTACTGAGTACTACAGCAGAATAGAGCACTAGGAAATCAGTAGACACCCCCACTTCCATGGCTGTGTCATCTTGGTCGCGACCCTGAACTTGAGCTCACTGGATTGTTTCCTCTGGCCCTTTCTTGCCTGGAGGGTTACTGGGAAGGTCATACAAAGCAGTTCTCTGGAAAGGCTTTCACAGTTGAGTTTCACCAGGCCTTGTGCTATTAGAAGTGGGATAGTGAAGCCAGGAGCAGGAAAACAGAGAGAAACAAAACTTAGCATGTTGCAAACACCTCAAATCCTCAGTGCATGGGAAGCTTTTATGGGTTACTCAGAAGAAAGGATATGCCCAAATTAACAGTGTAAAATGCCCCAGTTTGTCAAGTCCAAAATATGTGTTTTGGACATTTTCTCATCTATGAAATTAGGTGCAACCTAATATCAATGGTGGTCATAATTTAACTGACAGCATCCTTTCCTTCTTAGGCATTCAAAAAATAATTGTGCCATTTACAACCAGAGCTGTCTTAGGTTTGATAAGACAGTATTTATTCCAAGTTTTACTTGCTATATTGGGACATATTGTAAACAGGCAATGCTTTGAAGTCACTTTCCATATATCAGTCATGGGGCTGAGGTTCAAGGGTGCGAAACACAGGATGGTCCATTGACACCCTGAGCCCCTGTTACTCATCACACACAGCAGAGTTTCATGTCTCACGATCCCTTGGAGTGGTCAGTGTCTTTGCCTATATTTTTATGAAGGCTAGTAACTTTGGTCCTGAGCTCCAAGAGGGAGCAAGATATTAGACACAAGTTTTTAAACTTTTTAAAATAATGATCTGTCATTTTTCCCTTTTGTGTTTCTAGTGAGTCCAGATTCCGGAGACTGTCATCTTCCTCTTCAGGGCAGCAGGACTTTGAAAGCGAGCTGGTTGGTGTTTAAGGGGCTGGTGTGGTTGTGGCTGGGAGGCAGGGCTTTGCATGGGTGGGCAGGACTGAACTGGCAGTGAGGGCGGTTGTACTCCTGATGAGCTGCTAACTTTGCACCCTTGACCTTGAGTGGCAATGCTGGTGACCGTGCTTCTCTGCTTTGACAAAGGCACCTGAACTTGAGGATTACTAAGGCACAGATGGCGGCTGAGTGACCCAGGATCAGGAGACCTGACTGATTCTCAGCCACAAGGCTACAGCACTTGTCTGTGTTATCATATTTATGACTTTGTGTGACAGTTAATTATTAACTTGCCTGCTGGTTTATGAGTCAGCTGCAGGAAGGAACCAAGTCTTATTCAGCTCTGTTCCCCATCTCCTGACACCCAGTAGGTCCTAAGTAACTGTCGAATGAATGACGAGCAAATATTTGTCTTTCCCAGCTGGGTGACAGTCCAACTTTAAGGCAAGCTAAGTTTAAGAGATGTGTTGGACAATAAAACCCATGACACCCTGTCCCTCTCTAAATCCCCCTCCAGGGAACCATCCCGTTAAGCAGGCTTGTTTCCTTGGCTTTGCCTTGCATCTCATTCAGTCACTTTGAAATGAACAGAAGCCCTTATCAACTTCTCCAGAGTGGCGCTGAACTTTCATCAGCTCTCGATTTGCATTTCACCATTTGACCCAGGAGACTGCATAATTCCACAAACTGTCAAAACTTGAGAGTTTTTTTTTTTTTTTTTTTACTTGAGAGGTTTTCCCAAGATTTTCAGGCCCAGGATGCATGTTACGAAGCACTGGGAGCACGCAGACTGTCGTATTTGGACAAGAGTGTTGCTTGCTGAACTGGAGACAGAAGCAGTTTGTTGTTTGTTTTTGTATAAAACAGGAGGTTAGATGGTTGTTTAGTGTCAAAGCTGATGATTATATCTGCCTCCAAAAATCAGAAATTATTGGAAGCTAACCCCTGTTCTCTATTCCCAGGGATGTTGCCCCTGGCTCACCGCGATCTTCCGCCTGCAGTGAGTACAGTGTGGGTGGCTGGGGATGTCTTGTTTGGGTGGGTTTGTTTGGGTGTTTGGCTATTCAGGAGGAGAGAGCCAAGGTGCTGATCCTGAGCTTCAGTCTCTTAGATACTTTTCAGGCCCAAAACAGTATGTGGGGGCAGAGAATTAAAGTGGCCCAGGCAGCCTCTATGCAAGCTAATTAAAACTAATTTTTTGCTTTGGGCAGTAATTCTGTCTACTTACTATTTATCGCTGAAATATTTGCAAGGAAGCTCTTCTAGGCAGCGTCATATGTGTTTGAATTGTGAACAACGGAGAAATAACGATTGTTTAATATATTCAGCTCATTTGGTTAAAGGCTTGCTGTTTTTCAAAACTTGGGCCCCTTGGAGAGAAAGAGGTGCGTGGGGGCCAGTTAGTCACCTAGCATGTGATTGGCAGAGTCATGATATGAGGCTTAGCTCTGCTGCCTGTGGTGTGTTCTGTCCCATCTGAGAGATCAGTGTTGTAAGATGCACACTATTTTACACAGCCCCGAGAATGAGAAAATGCTTTCTATTATGCTGTGATCGGCTATGATCCCACCCCATTTCAGAGATGTTGAAATATGAAAAGGTTATCTTAGAGCTGATGAAATGTGGTAGTTCCAGGACATTGGGTAAATCCTTCTCTCTGGCCTACAGTTTTCTCAACTATAAAAGCAGACTGAGAAACACAACATGGTAAAGCATTTGTACTCTCTCCGCCCTCACGAAAAAAAAAAAGTGAGCACGACAGCTGCTCTGCCTAATTCAGGGGCATTCATATGTGTGAGACCATGTTATAAAGAGCTGAGGTTGGTGAGGGTTGTTCCCAGGGGAACTGGCAGGAGGCAGTCTGTGCAGAATAAAGCAGGGAAGTCTGTCCTGAAGCCAGAGGAAGCAGGAGGAGAGGTTTCTGGTGGGGAGGAGAGGATTGAGGTCAGGAAGGGTAGATTTGCTTGCCTCTCCCATCCCTGCCTATTATGAAATCATGTCAGTGTTTCCTCTTTGCATTGGAAGTTGTCACACTTTGTGTAGTAAGTCTATTACAGACAGAAAAGAATCAGCCAGAAGAAATTTAAGTCACCCCCTAGCCCTACCTCTGAAAGGTACTCTGGTGCATTTTCTTCTGCTCCTCCACTCTCCATATCACTGCTGGTTGGGGCTCAGGCAATCCCTACCCTGGACTGTGGCCCCAACTCTCCGCCTGGATCGGGTGGGGCAGAACAGAAATTTTGACTCATTATCTTCTTGTTGACTAGAAAACACTGCTTACAGCTTGCCCTGTAGTCCACACCTACAGTTTCCATCTTTCCATGTCCCCTTCCAGTGTAGACCTCGCCTCTCTCTGAGTGGGGCGGTAACTTATACAGCTGTGTATTCTGCTTTGTCATATTAATGCTATTTGTTGTTCAATTGCTAAGTTGTGTCTGACTCTGACCCTGTGGACTGCAGCACACCAGGCTCCTCTGTCCTCCACCATCTCCTGGTTTTGGCTCTAATTTGTGTCCATTGAGTCAGTTATGCTATCTAACCGTCTCATCCTCTATCCCTGCCGTCTCCTTTTGCTTTCAGTTTTTCCCAGCATCAGGGTCTTCTTCAATAAGTCGGCTCTTTTAATGTTATATCAGACATATTTTTCTTTTTCAACTCCCACTGCTTTTTTCTCTTTTCTTCCTGTGTCAGAAAGGACTACCCTTTGACTTTTTTTAAAGGCTGCAATTAAATTTTAACAGCTGCTCATGCCCAAACATTTCAACTGATGTTTAAAGAGGCCTTTCAGTTTCCTTCCAAATTGCCTTTCCCCAGCAAGACAGGGAAATCAGAGGTGCATCTCAAGAAAAAAAAAGATTGATGAAAATTGCTTATTTATTAGCTTTAATCATTTCCATCAGTATTTGTTGAGTTGTTGTTCAGTTGCTCAGTCATGTCTGACTTTTTGTGACCCCATGGATTGCAGCACACCAGGCTTCCCTGTCCTTTATTATCTTTTGGAGGTTGCTCAAACTCATGTCCATTGAGTCAATGATACCATCCAACCATCTCGTCCTCTGTCACCCCCTTCTCCTCCTGCCCTCAGTCTTTCCCAGCATCAGGTCTTTTCCAATGAGTTGGCTCTTCCAATCAGGTGGCCAAAGTATTTGTTGAGTAAGCACATGTTATGGCAAAGTATATGCATTTTGGTAGTTTATTTAGAAGTGAACACAGTGTAATCAGTTGCAATATGTTTCCTCCAGCTAGGCAGTAAAAAGGAGGGATCTTAGCAAGCATCCCCACCCAATGCCAGACAGGCATAAAGCCTGGATCCTCAATGCCCCTTGTGTGCCTGCTGAGTGGCCATTTAGCCAGCAGGTAGCAGCCTCTCTGCTTTAGGTCCCAGCCTCCTGTGGATCCTGTGACCCTCTCTGGAGGCGGCGTAGCTGGATTCTACTGTGGTCTGTCTGTGTGGCTGTGGAGCCCACTCACCACACCATTCACCACACCTTTCAGACCTGCCTTTTTATGCTCTTCAGTTCAGTTGCTCAGTCGTGTCTGACTCTTTGCAACCCCATGGACTGTAGCATGTCAGGCCTCCCTGTCCATCACCATCTCCCAGAGCTTGCTCAAATTCATGTCCATTGAGTTGATGATGCCATCCAGCCATCTTATACTCTAATGTCCCCTTCTCCTCCTGCCTTCAATCTTTCCCAGCATCAGGGTCTTTTCTTTTTTTTTCCATTTATTTTTATTAGTTGGAGGCTAATTACTTTACAATATTGTAGTGGTTTTTGCCATACATTGACATGAATCAGCCATGGATTTACATGTGTTCCCCATCCTGATCCCCCCTCCCGCCTCCCTCTCCATCCCATCCCTCTGGGTCTTTCCAGTGCACCAGCCCTGAGCACTTGTCTCATGCATCCAACCTGGGCTGGTGATCTGTTTCACCCTTGAGGGTCTTTTCTAATAAGTCAGTTCTTCGCATCAGGTGGTCAAATTATTGGAGCTTCAGTTTTAGCATCAGTCCTTCCAATGAATATTCAGGACTGATTTCCTTTAAGATTGACTGGTTTGATCTCCTTGCAGTCCAAGGGACTCTCAAGAGTCTTCTCCAACACCACAGTTCAAAAGCATCAATTCTTTGGCACTCAGCTTTCCTTATGGTCCAACTCTCACATTCATGCATGACTACTGGAAAAACCACAGCTTTGACTAGACCTTTGTCATCAAAGTAATGTCTCTGCTTTTTAATATGCCATCTAGGTTATTCATAGCTTTTCTTTCAAGGAGTAAGCATCTTTTAATTTCATGGCTGCAGTCACCATCTGCAGTGATTTTGGAGCCCAAGAAAATAAAGTCTCTCACTGTTTCCATTGTTTCCCCATCTATTTGCTATGAAGTGTTGGGACCAGATGCCATGATCTTTGTTTTAAGCCAGCTTTTTCACTCTCCTCTTTCACTTTCATCAAGAGGCTCTTTAGTTCCTCTTCACTTGCTGCATAAGGGTGGTGTCATCTACATATCTGAGGTTATTGATATTTCTCCCGGCAATCTTGATTCCAGCTTGTGCTTTGTCCAGCCTGGCATTTTGCATGGTATACTTTGCCTATAAGTTAAATAAGCAGGGTGACAATATACAGCCTTGACGCTGTATATTGACGCACTCCTTTCCCAATTTGGAACCAGTCCGTTGTTCCATGTCCAGTTCTTACTGTTGCTTCTTGACCTGCATACAGGTTTCTCAGGAGGCAGGTCAGGTGCTCTGGTATTCCCAGCTCTTGAAGAATTTTCCACAGTTTGTTGTGATCCACCCAATCAAAGGCTTTGGTGTAGTCAATAAAGCAGAAGTGGATGTTTTTCTGGAACTCTTGTGCCTTTTCTATGATCCAGCGGATGTTGGCAATTCGCTGTAGCCCTTCTTACTGCGCTGTTTCTTTTCTTTTGGCTGCACTGGGTCTCCGTGGTGGTGCCCAGGCTTCTCTTGTCTCAGTGTGAGGGCTTCTCTAGTTGTAGCTTAGTTCTTCCACAGCCTGTGGGATCTTAGTTCCCCTACCAGGGATCGCACTCACAGTCCCCTGTATCAGAGGGCAGATTCTTAACCTCTGGACCCCCAGGGTAGTCCCTCCTTGAGTTCCTTCTTCCCAGTGCAGTGCTTTCCTGGCCTTCTGAGACCAAGACCCTCAGGATACCTTCATGAGGTATGCCTTCTTCCTCTGTAGCAGGAAAATCTGGCTATGAGAAACCAGAATTTTAATTTTCTGAGTCCCCAGGTGACCCAGAGCCTCCAGATACAGCACTGAGGGTGGGAAGGGGCGGAGCAGGTTGCCATCCCCACCACCCTCCTCAACCCCTGTGGCCACAGCAGGGACACGAGGATGAGGCAGGACTGGTCAGGTGGACAGAGTCTTGCAGTATTTAAAAAGTCCCAAACTGGGACCTCACCTCTCTTTCCCAGTTTGTCTGAAGGAGACAGGAGAAAGGGTCGGGGCGGTGAGCCTGACACAGACAGCTTTGCTCAGAAGGTTCCCAGCAGCCCTCTTATCAGTGGCTCTGCTTATTCATGGATGCAGCAAAGGGCTGAGGGATAATTGTACTTACACACCTCACTCCCATACAAACATAGGCACAGATGTTTCTAGAGACAGTAAGTGGAGTGGTGGCAGGTTCTTTCATCCAGGAGAATGGGGTGGAGGCTGAGAGGCAGGCTCTGGAGTTCACGTCATAGCTCTGCTATTACAGGCTGGGTGACTGTAAAAGGTTTATTTTTTAAAAATGTTCATTTATTATTTATTTGACTGTGTTGGGCCTTAGCTGTGGCATCTAGTTCCCTGACCAGGGATCAAACCCGGGCCCCCTGCATCAGGAGTTTGGAGGCTTAGCCACTGTACCACCAGGGAAGTCCCAGATTGTAGAAGTTAATGTGATTTTTCTGTTCCTGTTTCCTCACATGTAATATGGGGGTCAAATTGGGTCCTACCTCCTGGATGGTCATGAGGATTCAATGAGATAATCCACAAGAGGCCCCAAGGGCCTGGCCCAGTACCACTACTCATAAGGATTCTGTGTGTGTCTTGGCCAGCGATGACCAGATCCTGGAGTGGTGTGGGGAGGACGCCTTCCACTACCTGTCCTTCCAGAGACACATCATCTTCCTGCTGGTGGTGGTCAGCTGCTTGTCACTGTGTATCATCCTGCCTGTCAACCTCTCAGGGGACTTGCTGGGTAAGGACTCCTCGTCTTGCCTGCATTGGGCCCTAGGCAGAGCATCAGCCCAGGGGAAAGGGCCTCATGGTGCTAGGTCAGAGCTCCGGGATTCCTGCTGAACTCAGATGTGAGAAGGCCTCAGGGTGACTTTCTGAGCTGGCCCATTTGATTAAAAGTCTGGTGGAGAATCCACCCCAAACCTGGGCCAAGAGTTGGGGACTCTAACAGCTAAATAGGAGGAAGACCTCAAGATTTGTAAGATCGGAGCTTTCAGAGTGTGTTTTATAGCTTCCTGCTGCCACCCAAATCAGGTGGCCACAGTTAGTGGATCTGGAAGATGGTTGTGATGCTCAGAGTGAAAATCAGAGTGTGGAATTCTATTTCCAATCACCTGCAGGAATCCAGCATCCAAAACACCATCATGGATCCACTTCTTTTTTTTTTTTTTAAGGGTTTTTGCTGTGGACCATTTTTAAAAAAATCTGTATTGAATTTGTTTACAGTATTTCTTCTGTTTTATGTTTCATTTTTTTTTGGTTGTGAGGCATGTGGGATCTTATTAATAACTCCCCAACAAGGGATCAAATCCACACCCCATGCATTTGAAGGTGGATTCCTAACCACTGAACCACCAGGGAAGTCCCATGAACCCACTTCTTATACCCAGTGATTCCCAGCTTTGGTTTTGGGAACAGCTTAGGATGTTTCTAGATTTCCAAAGGGATGCCATGAGGCTCTCAAAGCAAGATGAAGTCAAATTTTGACTTCAGGTAGCTTGAGAAGAAGTTGTCAGGACCATCTTGGAGTAAAGCAAAGGCCTTGGGTGGTGTAGGTCTGAAGACTGGGCAAGCGTCACCATCCTTGGACTGGTCTGGATGTCTTATCCTTCCCCTTCTCAGAGCTCCACAAACCAAGGTTGCCTCCCCCTACCCCCCGCACATCTCTAGTGTGACCCTGAGTATCTGTGCTTCTCTGCAGTCAAAGACCCTTACAGCTTTGGGAGGACAACAATTGCAAACCTGGAGACTGAGTGAGTCCAGGGGGGCCGGGCGGACACGAGGGTGCTGATGGGTGAGACCGAGGAGAGGGTGGCCAGAGAGGTCAGAGCGAGAGGGTTGGTGTCCCAGAGCTCCTCTGCCACTAGCACCTCACTGGGCTATGGGAGTGGACACGCCCCAGGCTGCTGTTGTTTTGCAGTGGGTCTTAGGAGACTCGGGGGTGTCACATGGGGCTGGGGTTCATTTGCCAGCACAGTGCCCTCTATAAAGGGGCACTGGCCATGCCACCTCCGTCGGAGGAATCTGTTTTGATGAAGCCTTTGGCCTTCAGCTCAGGGCCATGAAGTTAACCAAGCCCAGCCCCTACCTGGGGGCCCAGCCTTGATGGCAGATGGTGTTCCCCTCTCCCCACAGTGACAAGCTCCTTTGGCTGCATACCATCTTTGCTATCCTTTACCTCATCCTCACCGTGGTCTTCATGAGACACCACACCCAGTCCATCAAGTACAAGGAGGAGAGCCTGGTGAGTAGGGGGTGGTCTGGGCGTGTGCTGGGGAGGGTCTGGGGTGGGAGCCAGAGAGGAGTGGCACAACGCTTATTCCTCAGCCCCACAATGACAGGGAGTGCAAGGGGGCCTCAGGCTTGCATGTGTGTGTTCAAAATTTTGGCATTTAGAATTTTTTTTTGGATAGATTATTTTAGGATTTGGCTATTACCCACCATTTTGCAAACTAGCCTTTAGATTTGTGGGCTTTGGGCTTGTAGTTACTGATTCTAAGTAACTTTCAAGAAGTTTGAATTGAGAGCAGTTCCTTCTCTCTTTGCAGCCCACAACTTGATGGGGGTAGGGGAAGTTTCTGTTGTTATTGAGTCACTCAGTCATGTCTGACCCTTTGTGACCCCATGAACTGCAGACTACAGCATACCAGGCTTCCTTGTCCTTCACCATCTCCTGGAGTTTGCTCAAACTCATGTCCACTGAGTTGATGTTGCCATCCAACCATCTCATCCTCTGTTGGCCCCCTTCTACCCTCCATCTTTCCAAGCATCAGGGTCTTTTCCAATGAGTTGGCTCTTGGGTCTTACTCTGATCTGCTGTGTGACCTCTTTTGAGTCACCTCCCCTCTCAGGGTTCTTTCTCAGTCTCTTGTCCTGCAAAGGAGACTCATAGAAATTGCTTTAGAAATGTATTTTTTCTTGGTTGTGCCACTGTGTGACATGCGGGATCTTAGTTCCTCAACCAGAGATTGAACTCATGCCCCTGCAGTGGAAACACAGAGCCCCAACCTCTGTGCCGCCAGGGAATCCCCTGGAAATGTATTTTTGACTGCCTAGAAAAGATGCTATGTAAATAACAGACTTCAAGGCTCTGTCAGGCTTGGAAGATGAGCCTCTAAGCCCCTGAGCCCCCATTGTTTTCCTTGGGGAGGAAAACAGGGTGAACAGATTGAACAGGGTGTCCTCCTGCAGACTGGCTCGCCCTGGTGATTTTTCTCACTGGTGTGTTTCTCTGGCAGGTGAGGAGGACCCTGTTTGTCACGGGACTCCCCAGAGATGCCAAGAAGGAGGCGGTGGAGAGCCACTTCCGGTGAGCAGGGCCATTTCCGCTGGGAGGGAAGGGGAGTGGGGTCACCCTCTGGGTGGGACGGGCACCTTAGATGAGCTTGGGCACCCACAGAGACCCTCGGAGTGCCTGCCCCAGCCTCAGAGCCTTGGATGCTACTGTGGGCAAGCTCTGCTGGGGCTGCAAGGGCCTGGGCTGGGGTGGTGCATCCTCTGCCAGAAGCCACGTGACTGCAGTAGCCAGAGTACAGGCCAGCATGTGGGAACAGAGAAACATCTTGAGAGCCAGTGGGGAAAGAAAAGGATTCATAGGAAACCCTCCGTCCCCACCAAAAAAAAAAAGGGATTCACCCTGAGCTCCTCCGTGTCAACTTTGCCGAAGATGAGATACCTGAGAGGGAGAAGTCTTGGAGGGGAAGGACCTGGGCCTGCATTTCATGGTCCATTCTTCCGATCAGTGTGTGTTTCCTGAGTGAGCACTCTGTGTCCAGAGCTCTGTCCTCACAGAGCTCACTCACAGCCCTCCCACCAGAAACTCCTTTCCAGCAGCCCCCTCTGAGCACCTGCACAGGGATTCCTGCAGAGGGAGGCTGGAGAAGGGCTTTCCTGTGAGAAGGAAATTACGTGTGTCCAGCGCTATGAATGCAGAGCACCATCCTGGCACACCAGGAAAGGGGGTGGTGCGGGCAGAGCAGGCCCGAAGGCTCCCAGGATCCTGGGCTGGAGGGCTGGGACCCCAGCCAGGGAGCTGAGGTTTCAGTCTATGTTCCTTCCTCATCAGCAGTCAATAATTGGTAGTATGGATTAGGGGTTGGCTGTAGCTTAGCTTGGGCTTCCCTGGTGGCTCAGTGGCAAAGAATCTGCCTGCAATGCAGGAGACCCAGGTATGATCCCTGGGTTGGGAAGATCCCTTGGTTAGGAAGATCCCCTGGAGGCGGGCATGGCAACCCACTCCAGTATTCTTGCCTGGAGAATCCCATGGACAGAGGAGCCTGGTGGGCTACAGTCCATAGTGTCACACAGAACACAACTGTGTGTTCTTCAAATGCAACTAAACAACAGCATGGCTTAGCTTTGCCTTATTTATGAAGAACACTTTAAACAAATTGCTCAAGTTCAAGTTCACTCGCTCAGTCGCGTCCAACTCTTTGTAACCCCATGAACCACAGTATGCCAGGCCTCAAATTACTAGTATAAACAGAATTGTAAAATGAAATGTTTAAAATTTATTGACTGACCTCTCTTTCAGAAACTCAAAGCATTTTAGAAATATTTTTCTCTATGTAAACACTGGATACTGGAATCATTTTTCTTGATTCCTTGAAACAACTCCCCCAAGTGTCCTGTTAAGCAACATCTGGAAACAGTGCATGTGGACGTGCCCAGTCGTGTCCGACTCTTTGTGACCCCATGGACTGTAGCCTGCCAGGCTCCTCTGTCCGTGGGATTTCCCAGGCAAGAATACTGGAGTGAGTTGCCATTTCCTCCTCCAGGGGGTCTTCTCAACCCAGGGATCTAACTCGCATGTCCTACATCAGCAGGCGGGTTCTTTACCACTGAGACACCAGGGAAGCTCTTTGGAAACAGTAGCTCCATTTAATATATTACCTAAAAGAGAATAAAAAAAAAAGTCCTTGCATTCCCATTACAAACACTGAGTCACGCTTACTCCTCTTTTAGGAAGCCCTTCTAGTGAACACTGATGCAATCCGTGGGGATTGATGTGTGAATCAGCCTTGTAGCAGGGATGCTTTCACTGTTGTTCTCTTCCTCAAACCTCCTATTGGGACCTGAAATTGTGACAATTTCAGGCTGTCTCTCTCACTAAAATGTAAACTTTTCCAGGCTCCACGCCCAGTACTGGTGCCTGGTGTGAAGTAGATAGGGATTTACATGGTTCAGGAATGCCCAGGAGTTGTGCATATGATTATGTGTATATGGTGAGGGAGCATCGTATGGTGGATACAGGTGTGGGTCCTGGACCTGGGCCACCTGAATTCCCTTCCTGGCTTAGACTTGCACTAGTTGTGTGATCTTGATCACAAGTCATTTTACCTCTCTGGCATTTATTTTCTTCACCTGTAAAGTGGGCCCCAAAACCTCACAGGTCATGGTGAGGATCAGATAAGTTAATGTTGTAACAGTTTACCTGGCCAAGAATAAGTATACATACAGTATTTTACTATGATTTGTGAATGCATTTACTGGGCTAAGGGTCCTTTGCTTTCATTAGACTTGTGATCTTCAAAAGCATCACAAACTGAATAGGATTTCAGTGATGGTCTAAGGTAGATATGACCTGGAGCAAACAACAAATTTATTCCCTTGTGTGGGTAGAGGAGGTAATGGATAGTGTTATTTTTTTCTCCAGGAGAAGTGCTGATTTAAAGCTAAGTAGATGTAAACTTGTCAGTTTCAGGCAGTTACTTTCTTTCTATTAAAAAGGACCTTTTTGTATTATATTTCAAAATTTCCCTGTTTGGTAAAAGACAAAGAGGAAAGAGGTCTCCACTGGTGCAGAAATGAAAATGTAGTTGCTGTCACACCCCGGAGTCTTTGGGGTCTCCCCTGCTAGGGGCAGGGGTTCTGTTTCCCAGTGGTCTTCTTTTGCTTCTGGGGCACAGGGACGCGTATCCCACGTGTGAAGTGGTGGAGGTCCAGTTGTGCTATAATGTGGCCAAGCTGATTCACCTGTGCAGAGAGAGGTAAGGGAGAGCTGGCGGGGCGGTGGGCATGGGCAAAGCTGGCCTGCAGCTTTCTGACCGCTTCCCTCTGAGATGCCCACCTGCCTTCCTTGCTGGCCTTGGCTCCCCCAGCGAGGATGGGAGGAGGGTGGCTCTGCCCTTTTCTTGCTTAGAAAGCTGGTGGTGACCAGTGGGTGATGACGGGTGTGGAGGCTGTGAGTCACACCACAGGACTGCGAGTCTGACGTGTGTCCCTCCCACTACAGAAAAAAGACTGAGAAGAGCCTGACCTACTACACAAACCTGCAGGTGAAGACAGGCCAGCAGACCTTCATCAACCCCAAGACTTGTGGCCAGTTCTGCTGCTGTGAAGTGCGGGGTTGTGAGTGGGTGAGGGCCACACCCCACCAGGGGCATGGGTGCTGGGCCCCCTGACACCCGCACAAGGCCACGTCATCACAAGGGGTTGTGTCCTCTGATAGGAGGACGCCATCTCCTACTACACGCGCATGAAGGACAGGCTGATGGAGAGGATCACAGAGGAGGAATGCAGGGTCCAGGACCAGCCCCTGGGAATGGCCTTCGTCACCTTCCAGGAGAAGTCCATGGCCACCTAGTGAGTGCATGTGTGTTCTTTGCTTCCAGACAACTTGCTGTTCCTCTCGGGCTGAGATGGTCTTGCTGGACCGCCATCGCTGGGGTTTGTTTGTGGCATCTGCATCTCCTCCTCTGGGTGTGGCTGGCGTGGGGGGCAGCCACCCACTCCACTCACTCCCTCGGTGAGCCCAGCCTGTGTTGGTGTGACGGCTGGGCTTGGGTGTTTGCAGCCGAGCCCCTCTCTGGTTATCGTAGCCTCACCCCCCTGCTGGCTCTCACCAGCTGCCCAGGGATCCTCTTGCCCTTGTGGCCCAGCATTTTCCCTAGTGGCGTGTACCCTCACCTCCTTTATATATCCACTCTGGAATCAGACTCTCCTTCCACGTGTGTCCTTCCCAGCTCCCTCCAGCGGCACTGCTGGGGGCGGAATGCTCACTGCGGACAGAAGCCTGGCCCAGGGCAGTGGGTTTTCACCTCGGCATGGGCTCTAGCTCCTAAAACGCTCTCATGCCTGGGATCCCCATGTCACCCTGTGCTGCAGGCAGCACAGGATGAGGGCAGGAGAGGGACGCGGAAGGGAGGTGACCCAGCAAATGCCCCTCCCCCTGCCTCCCCTGCCTTGGGCAGCGTGAACCCTGGGAACAGACCCCCTGGATGTGCCTTGCAGACCCTGAAGTGAGATGGAGTAGGGGGAAGGCCAGTGAGAAGGGGAAGGGTGTTCTGAGATGGGAGTAGTGGGGCTGGTGGGTTCTTTAGGGAGACGAAAGGGGGAAAGAGTGGTGGAGGTGGAGATGGGAGTCCTAGGGAGGGGTATCTTGGGGTCGTAAGTAATGCAGTCTAATGCTGCTAGGGGGTCTGGGGGGAGGTGAGGGAGTGAAAGGGTAAAGCCATGGACCCGGCAGGGGGATGTGACCAGAACCCAGCTTAACAGGCGGCGTGTAGCAGGGGGCAGCACGCAAGGAGGCGCCCCCTGTGTTGGGGTGATGGGGACAGTACAGGACCTGTAGTCAGCTGGGACGCAAACCTCACTCTCAGCGCCTGCGTCTCCTCGGCTGTAAAATAGTAACGGTAACCCCTGACTGGCAGGCTTGTTCCAAGGATCGAACAAAGTTCTGCACACAGTGTGCTGAGAATGGCATCTCTTTCATAGCATTAATTATAATAAGCGAATGATAAAGCAGAAGCCCGGTGCCACAGGGCTCCCACTCTCACATGGGCCTGTTTGCCACATGTGGACATGGTACCCTGAAGGGTCTGGACCCTGGCCACTTCTGCATTTCCTGGCAGCATCATGAAGGACTTCAACGCCTGCAAGTGTCAGGGCCTGCAGTGCAAAGGTGAGCCACAGCCGTCGTCCCACGGCAGAGAGCTCGGTGTCTCCAGGTGGACCGTCACCTTCGCCACTTACCCCGAGGACATCTGCTGGTGAGCCCACAGCCAGGAAGGGGTGAGAAAGAGGCTGGGGTGTCCTGTGGGGCCGCCCAGGTCACCTGGAAGCACAGGTGTGACCTAGCGCTCAGGGAGACGCACACTCTCCTGCACCCCTCTGGGCTGGGGGTGGGGGGCATGATGGGGGCGTCTAGCCACATCCAGGGCTTCACTCCAGTGTTTCTCCCTGGCATCAGCGGTGTCCAGTAGGATTATAATAGGAGCTGTGTGTGTCATTTTACGTTTCCTTTTAGCCACATTATAAAAAGTAAAAGAAACTGGGGAGTTCTCTGCTGGCCTAATGGTTAGGATTCCAGGCTTTCGCTACCGTGGCCTGGTTTTCATCCCTTGTCAGGGAACTGAGATCCTGCAAGCCATGTGGTGTGGCAAAAAAAACCCAAAAAATAAAAATAAAGAACAGGTCTAAAAAAAATGTTAAAATTAACTCTCATAAGAATTCTCCCTATATACATATATATATAATGTTATCATGTCAACGTGTAATCAATTTTTAAATATTGAAAGGTTTTACAGTCTCCTTTTTATATGCTGTGGTCTTTGAAATCCAGCATGTATTTGACATTTCTGGCACATCTCTGTCCAGACCAGCCGCATGTCAGCACTCAGCAGCCACCTGTGACCCGAGGCTACTGTATCAGACGGGGCAGCCTTGCATTTAGTGCCAGCTGCCTCTGGCCTGGGGCACAAGCTGGTGACCTGAGCTGTGTCCACGGGAGCCTGAGGCACGATGCCTAGGGCGAGGACGGCCTGGCAGAGGCCCCAGCTCGGCTTGCCGTCCAGCTTGGTCTCAGTTCCTTGTCCAGGGCGAGCTTTGGGCTCTCGCCCCTGCTGGCTGTGCATCAGCCCCGGCAGCTCTGATCTTTGGGTTGCTGACCTTTCTAAACTCGGGACTGGTTATCACTCTGCTCTTGGTGGGGGCAAGAAGCCAGGGAGTTTCCAGATGGGCCTTTCGCCTTTGTCCCCTGCCTCCCTCCTCCTCACACCCCAGCTCATGGGCCCCTCGGGAGTCATGTGTCTCTAGTGTGTCTGAGAAATGCCATGTTGGAGCCTTGTTTGGTCTGCTTGGGGGCTCATGGCGTCTCTTCAGGTAGGTTCTGGCCCGACTCTAGCTGAGGAGCCATGTTAGCAGCAAATAGCTTGTTTCCCCCCCTGAGCTCACAGGGACCCCAAGTTTGACCTTCTTGGAGCTGAAGGTCAGTGCAGGACGCTTGCCCGTGCTCCTGAGGTCAGAACGAGCCCTCAGCTGGAGCCCTTGGTCTAGTCGCTTGCCTTGCCTGAATCTGACCTTCTGACCCACCTTAGCCAAGTGCACTCTTGGTGTCTTAGGTGACCAGAGCCTGAGAGATAAACCTCCAGGGCCCGTGTCCTCCTCTCTGCAGGAAGAACCTCTCTGTTCAGGGCTTCCGCTGGTGGTTCCAATGTCTGGGTATCAACTTCGTCCTCTTCGTGGGGCTATTTTTCCTGACCACACCCTCCATCATCCTGTCCACCATGGACAAGTTCAACGTCACCAAACCCATCCACGCCCTGAACGTGAGTGACCCTTCTGCAAGGCCCCTCCTGGGGGGCTGGCGATAATAGGGGGGAGTGGGAGGTGGAGGGATGAGGCCAAGGGCTGGGGTGGCAGGGTGGGGGTCAAACTAAACCAGGAGTTTAGTTTCAAACTGAACCACTTGACTCATGTCTGTGTTTTTAAGCCCTGGGCATATAAGCCAGCATTTATTGCAATGTGTTTATGGTAATGTTATGTATATGTATATATGTGTGTGCGTGTGTTACTATAAAAACATAGATAAAACTCTAATGGACTCAATCTAAATGTTCAACAATAGGGGAAATTTGAGTTGAATGAGGTATATTCAGTCTGATAGACCGTTAAGCATTCATTAAAAAATTATACAGACTTTGTGGCAGACATGGGGAGCTTATGATAAGAGCAGGACATAACATTGTCTCTCAGCAGTGATCATAGTGATGGCCCGTGAAGTGTGCTGCTGTGGGGTGTGGCTAGCAAAGAATGAAAAGTCTTTTGTTCTCTGGGATAGCAGGATCATGAATCAATTATTATTGTTGTCTTTTTTTACATTTCAGTTTCTGGTAATCTTGTTGTAAAGTTATTTACTCTAGATAGCTAATGAATGATTTTTAAAAAATCTTACATGAGTTGATAACAACTAAACATTGCCTAAAATGGCATCTACTTGGTTTCCCGTAATTGGCTTTGCTGAAATATCATCCTCAGCCTTGTTTTTTTCAGTTCCACTTGGCATTTGGTTAATCATACCCTGGGAAACACACAGTGGACAGAGGGCCTGAGGGCCTGGTCCTAACTCTGCCATTCCCTAACTGATGAATTCTGAGCCTTGCTTTTTCGTCTAAAGACTGGTTTTTCTTCTATAACATGCTGCCATGTTATACTCATGGGGCTGTTGTGATAAATGGCTCAGTAGATAATAAAAAAAAAAGACATAAGTTTTGTTGAGATTTTTCAGCATGTCATTGAAGAATTGATGCTTTTTGAACTGTGGTGTTGGAGAAGACTGTTGAGAGTTCCTTGGACAGCAAGGAGATCAGACCAGTCAATCCTAAAGGAAATCAGTCCTGAATATTCATTGGAAGGACTGATGCTGAAGCTGAAGGTCCAATACTTTGACCACCTGATGTGAAGAACTGACTCATTAGAAAAGACCCTGATGCTGGGAAAGATTGAAGGCAGGAGGAGAAGGGGACGACAGAGGTTGAGATGGTTGGATGGCTTCACCAACTCCATGGACATGAGTTTGAGCAAGTTCAGGGAGTTGGTGATGGACAGGGAAGCCTGGCGTGCTGCAGTCCATGGGGTCGCAAAGAGTCGGAAATGACTTAGCAACTGAACTAACTGAAAGTATGGTTGGGCTACCCAGGTGGCTCAGTGGTAAAGAATCCGCCTACCAATGCAGGAGATGCAGGTTCAGTCCCTCAGTTGGGAAGATCCCCTGGAGAAGGAAATGGCAACCCACTCCAATATTCTTGCCTGGGAAATACCATGGACAGAGGAACCTGGTGGGCTACAGTCCATGTGGTCTCAAAAGAGTTGGACTTGACTTAATAACTAAACAACAATAGTGAATGGTCAAGGCCTGTTCTTTTGAGGAAGGAATTGCTGATTAGAATTCTCCTTTGTCTATTTTACATAAAACACACCCTTATTTCATTGTTTGTGATTCTAGTTTTTGTTTCTTACAGTAAAGCAAGAACTTAAAGATACTTGCAGAAAGTTATTCAAAGTACAGAATCCTAGATTTCATTTTCCTTGCTCTTTTTCAGTTAATTTACTCTTAAGTTCAACAGGAGAAATTCACCTTTTCAGAAATTCACCTTTATCAAGTCTTTCCAAAGTGTCCAACCTAGTTTTCAAAGAAATCTTCTATTGTTACAAGGCTCATTTTGTCAGAGAAGGTAATAAGTTAATTGAACCATGAAACTGCAATAACAACAGGCATAGGCAAGATTGGGAACTAACATGGCACAGTTTTGGGGAGCTACGAGTGGACCAGTGGGAGCTGAGTGGGCAGGATGCTGGGGAGGGGGCCCCAGCCATCAGTACTACATCTTCCTTTGGTGTCTGCTGTTAGCTTTTTATAGGGAACAGAAGAGGTTCTCTATCTGGCCAGGAAGATAAGTGGAGTTCGGTTGTATGTGAAGTTGCTTTTGTCCCTCTAAGCGCAATACAGGGGCTTGCCTGGAGGTCCAGTGGTTAAGACTTGGCACTCTCACTGTAGGGTCGTGGGTTCAATCCCTGGTCAGGGAACTAAGATCCCACATGCTGTGTGGCACGGCCAAAATTAAAAAAAAAAAAGAGCTGTACAAATGTCAGGTGCTGTTATCATCTATTCAGCCAACGTTAAGGGAATATCTCCTCTGTACCAGGCACAGCATTGGTTCTAGGGGACAAGTATGACCAAAACCCCTGAGTTCACTGAGTCTCCGTGCCAACAGGTCATGACCCAGATCGCCCAGGCTCACAGCTCTCTCTGCTATGGACTGTTTTCTAGGATCCCATCATCAGCCAGTTCTTCCCAACCCTCCTCCTGTGGTCCTTCTCCGCCCTGCTCCCCACCATCGTCTACTACTCTACGCTGCTGGAATCTCACTGGACCAAGTGAGTTCTCCGAGACTCACCCCTGAGGGAGGGGGTCTCTGGCCCCCCAGCCTACCAGCGTGATGGGCACCCAGCAGGGGCTTTCCTGGGAATACCTGGGGCGTCTGAGGGACTGCAAGGGCTCACATCTGACTTCCTGCAGGTCAGGAGAGAACCGGATCATGATGACCAAGGTCTACATATTCTTGATCTTCATGGTGCTGATCCTGCCCTCCCTTGGCCTCACCAGGTACACCACCTTCTGCTCTAAGTTCAGAACCAAGGTCACATCCAGAGAACGCTGTCTTCCAGAAAGTGCAAATCGTTTGCAAGTGGATGCAAATTCCTTAACAACATTTAAACCTGTCACACCCTCTTGGAATGCAGTTGTGCTGGCCCACTGATACTTCCAGAGATAGGCTCTTTCTGCCTTAAAAACAAAAAAGCTTGAAAATGAAACATATCATGGACCTTCCACTTAGGGAGTGAGTCTAATCATGGCTTTGGTTATTCTGCGGAAGGAAGCTTTTGTGAAAGCAGGCCCTGATAAGTTATGGTGTAATAAGTAACCAGTGTGCATGCAATGTAGAAAGCCAATGTAGATCTTGAGATTAGGCCTTTTACAAAACAAACAACAATCAAAAAAAGCAGAAAGCAAAAAAAAAAAAAAGAAAATATAGGTATGATCACATGGAGTATTGGAAATAAATTCTTACAGGATTTATTTTTCTTTCAGTTTGGATTTTTTCTTCCGGTGGCTCTTTGATAAAACGTCCTCAGAGGCCTCTATCAGGTTGGAGTAAGTATCCGCTACATTGAGTTCTGGCTCTAGGTCCCAGGTGAATGTGCCCCAGGGGCTGGGGCTCGGGTGACAGAGGGGGAGGGTAGTCTGTGCTTCAGCTTGCTTGTAGCCTCCCCATCACCCCTCCAGCTTCCTGGCTGGGCTGCACCCTGGGAACTGACCCACTTGTGCTACATGTGCAGAAATGTGGTTAATCTTTTAGGTTAAAACTCAATTAGTGACAGTCTCCTTCATCCTTTGAAACGTACTTACTGAGAACAGAACCGCTTGGGGAGAGGGAACTGCTAGGTCTCAGGGGTGCCAGGGAAGGGAAAGGGGAATAATAATTAACACTGCAACCAGAGTAACTGTCTGATCCCGAGTTATTTTTGCTATGAGAGTGGAGTTAAACTTATTTCTCAATGTGTGTCCTTGTTAGTATTTTCAGCTTATCCCACACCCTTTTAATAATAATTCCTGTTATTTAAGAAGATGCTCTGCTAAATGCTTTATTCTGTTTCTCATTGAATCTTCACAACAAGCTATGAGGCAGAAATGACTATTTCCATTTTACGGATGAGGAGACTGAGGCCCAGAGGTGTTGAAGAACTTGCCCAAAGCTACCCAGCCAGTTAAGAGACAGAGCTGGGGTACAGCCCAGTCCCTCTTGTACTACACTGTAGGTCCTGACATAGACCCTAAGGTTCAAGATAAACTTTTCTAGGGGAGTGTTCACAGGGAGGCCCGGCCATGCCTATCTGAAAGGAGAGAGTGAATTTTCTTACGTTCTCGCTGGGTGAACTGGGGACTTGGGAGCTGGCAGCCACAGACAAACTCACACCCAACCAGCTCAGGTCTAGGTTGACAGTGACAGCCAGATGGCCAAATCCATGGTCAGTTCTCAGCCCCTCGTCTGCCCAGCTGCGGGCTCCCCTCCCTCCCTGGGTGCTCAGCTCACACACCTGCTGGCTCCCCAGGTGCGTCTTCCTGCCGGACCAGGGCGCCTTCTTTGTGAACTATGTCATCGCCTCGGCCTTCATCGGCAACGGCATGGAGCTACTGCGGCTGCCCGGCCTCATTCTCTACACCTTCCGCATGGTCATGGCCAAGACCGCGGCCGACCGCAGGAACGTCAAGCAGGTACGGGGGGTAGATGTGGGTGCTGCCTTCTTCTCGAGCCTCCCCACCAACCACGTTTACCTAGCGGAGTGCCAGGCACCATGCTCAGGGCCTCTTAGTTCGGCCCAGGGCCCCACTTCGGGGAGTGGAGGTGTGAGGAACCTGTGTGAAGGTGGCCTGGCTACATCATCCTCCATCCACTCTGTCTCGGGTAGAGGAGAGAGTGGGGATTTTTGCATTTTAACTGGCCTGATCTCACACACACACACACACATACACATTCACACAACTAAGATCTATACATTCTTTTCCCATAGTCCTCCATTTGCATACATTTTTAGGTTACCCCAGAAATCAAAGGCATTTGGGACTGATGGCATTTGTTTTAAGACTCTAAATTGGGTGTGTGGGATTCTCTCTTACTCTCCTTTGCTGTTGTGGGAACCGTGAGAGGAGAGGCCCTGCATCCTGTCACTGAACCTTCAGAGCCCCTGTGAGATGGGCCCTACTGGAGCTCACCTTGCAGACGCAAGGACTGAGCCACGGGGCGGTCGAATGCTTGGCTGAGGCACACGGCTTGACGGGGCGGAGCTGACCTTGGGTCTGAGGCCAGAGTCTTGGAGGATTGTTCTACAGTCAGACGTTACCCCCTCTGTCTTTGGAGGCTCATAGGCCTGTTGGGTACACATGATTAGAACAAGAAAAACACTATGAAAACATGAGTCATCATGCCTTGAGAGCTCTGGGTGTGAGCTAAGTGAAGCTGGAGGAGGCTTGTGGAGGGGCAGAAAGGGCCTTCCTTGAGAGGTGGGGGTCGCTGTGAGTCTCCCATTTCCAAAGTCCTCCCCAGTGTGTTCTCCCTGACCACCTAAGAGAGCATGGAAGTGGGCTGGGGTGGACCAAACCCCTGAGTTCCTCACCATCTCCCCCTCCCAGAACCAGGCCTTCGAGTTCGAGTTTGGAGCCATGTATGCGTGGATGCTGTGTGTCTTCACCGTCATCATGGCCTACAGCATCACCTGCCCCCTCATTGTGCCATTCGGTGAGCGGCCCTGGGGTGGGTCCCAGGGTAAGCGGGTGGCTGATTTCCGCAGAGCTCCCCAGGACAAGCAGCACCAGGACGTCATGGAGCGCCCCAGACAGAGGGCCTCTCGTAACCCTGAGAACCACAAGGAGCCACACCAAATATAATTTCACTTCTCATGGACTGCCGCCACTGGCCTTCCAGACTGAGACCTCTCTGAGTCCTCCTCCACTCTGATGGCCTGGCTGAGTGCTTCCTTCTCGGCTGGTTCTCTGGCAGCCCTGGGGGAGGCCCTCGTATTTGTCACTGTGGCCGCCACTGTTGCCCTCCACGTGGATTACCACACTTCACTCTCTCACAATCCTTCAAAGCAGGTCTTGTTTCTGCACCCTTTGCACAGATGAAGCATTTAACACTGTGGTAGTGAGGCGTTGGAGGCAGGATCTGAACTTAGGACTTTGAAGGCCAAGGTCTCCTTGACTTAAAAGGCCAAGGTCTTGCAAATAAAATCCACCCTCAGGAGCTGGCAACAAATGGAAGACTCTGGAAGGAAACAGAACACCCAGGAGACTGTTTAGGGAGAGGAGGAAGTTTTCGTTTTCTCTGTATAATCTCTTGTACTATTTTAAAGGTCTGCAGTAGTATTACTCTTTCAAAGCAACAACAAAAAAAATTTTTTTTAAGAACCTGACATAATAGAAAAAGCAGCACCTGCATGCCTTCTGTGCCATCCCTGGGTTTGGGCATCTGTTGACAGTGACGGTGCAGGGGGTCGGCTTGGGTGGGAACAGGAGAGGACAGTGGGAGCATTGAGGGGTAAGGGGAGGGACTCAGCCCGGTGGGGGGGTTGCTCAGTGTGGGAGGAAATGAAGGCCAGGCATCTGGGTGTAAAATCTCCTCTTTCCCCAAAATGGTCCTAGCACTGCAGTGATCCTTGAGAATACACAGAAACCTCTACTCCCTGGGGTCAGAAAGAGGCTAGGGAAGGGGAAGAAGAAGGGAGAGGAGAGAAGGGGAGAGGCAGGGTCAGGGAGAGCCAGGAGATGCAGGTATGCATGGAGCCCGGCAGCAGCCTTGGCTCCAGCTCTGGCACCAAAAGTGCCTCCAGGAGGAAGGGAGCAGAGCGGCCCCTGGGCCCAGCCGAGATCCAGCTCACAGCCTTGACTCTGCAGGCCTCATCTACATCCTGCTCAAGCACATGGTGGACCGGCACAACCTCTACTTTGCCTACCTGCCAGCCAAGCTGGAGAAGAGGATCCACTTCGCGGCCGTGAACCAGGCCCTGGCCGCTCCCATCCTGTGCCTCTTCTGGCTTTACTTCTTTTCCTTCCTGCGCCTGGGTAAGGGGCCCTGCCAACTAGGGCGGGGGTGGAGGGCCAGAGGCCACCCCCAGCCTCCCATCCCCACGTCAACACCAGCCAGTCAAATCTCTCACTGCTTTAAGAGCATCAGCTTGGCGTCCAATCAGAAGGTGGTACCCCAGGGTGATGGCTGATTGGGTGCAGCACTGACAACCCAGTTCCAAGCTCCTGAGGTCATCTGTAAGCTGGTGAAAGCCAGGTCCATTGCCCTAGACAGCCTTACAGGGAAGATGAAGGGACTGGACCAGAGGAGAGAGGGAAGTTTGCCCGCGTGATTCTTTTAGGGTGTGGATGGGTCCAGGTCCTCACACGTCACAGTGTGGAGGAGGTAGGGGCAGGCAGGAGGGAAAACTGCTACTCTTGGGAAAAAGGAAAATGCAGAAGAGATGCCTGACTCTGCCCAGGGCGCTGGAGACTGGAGGGAATCAACCCAGCAAGGAGGTTGGCCTCTTGCCATTGACTCAGTGCCCCAGTGTCCGAAATTGACCCGGGAGAATGGCCGCAATTCTGCACATCACTCTATGTGCCCCCTGGGGGTGAAGACAGCATCCCAGCTGCTGGAGATGGTGGGAAGGGGGCAGGAATGATGTCTTCTCTTTTATTTTTGGCCTGAGAGAGAAGCCACACAACAGTTCATGCAGCAGGTATGACCTCCCTCCATCAAAGCTGGCACCCCTTTGTCCCCAGGTCTGAAGGCTCCCCTCACTCTGTTCACCTTCCTGGTGCTGCTGCTCACCATCCTGGTCTGCCTGGCATATACCTGCTTTGGATGCTTCAAGCACCTCAGCCCTCTCAACTACAAGGTAAAGGGCCCCTCCCTGATCGCTGCCCCGCCAGAGTCTGGCAGAAGGTGGTTGGGTTCATCCTCCAGTCCTCCTCCACCTCTTCCCATATCAACAGATCAGCAGCCCTCTCCAGATTTTATTTATCCACGGGGAAGGCGTGGGTAGCTGGCTATGATGTGTAGCTTCCCCGCCCTCCCCCTTCCCTGCTCCCTACGCTGCCTTCCCCTCCGCCACCCCATCCTCTCTTGGGCTGCTGCTGGTAGCTTTGTGCCAGCTGGTACTATTATTCTGGGTGTTAATAGTCTGTTTGTTTAGAGGGTGTTAGTTCAGAAAGATCAGTTTTGTTTATCATTGCAAGTTTTTGCTGTTATCTGCAGACAGAAGAATCGGCGAGTGACAAAGGCAATGAGGCGGGGGCCCACGTACCTTCACCGTTCATAGTAAGTGTGTTTCTTACCTGAGCGCTGAGCACCTGCACAGGCCCAGCCAGATGGGCCCTGCAAACACGCTTCGATCTTCTCTCTTAAGACAGAAGTTGCCTGATCATGTGGCAGGAGGGTTTCTGAATTAATGTCATTTGAGAAGGAATCCCTGGTCCCTCCGGATGTTTTCTCTTGCATGTGTGAAGCCACATCCATCACCGAGAAGATAATTAGTTTTACCATGATACACACCCATCCCCCTTGGTTTCAGTTCCCTGCTCACTTTCCTTCTCTGCATATTTAATGCTTGGTGAGTTTTTGTTGTTGTTGCTGCTGCTGTTGTTTTTTCAACTGAAGGATCATTACTTTACAATGTGTGTTAGTTTCTGCTGGACAACAGTGAGCATCAGCTCTAAGTATACATATACCCCCACCCTCTGGAGCTGCCCTCCCACCCCTCATCTCTTTCCTCCTCTGCATGTTTAATGCTTGGGGAGTTTGGGCCTTTACCAAAGCCATTTCACAAGGCCCTGTGGTTTGATGAAGGTTTATCAGAGCATTTCACCAGCACTTGCCTGTGGGAGGTGCTTCACGAGGCATTAAGAGGGCGTCACACTAACTCCTCTCTGAATTCAGTAGATGAGCATGGCACCTGCTTTGGAGGAGGGCACCCTGTTAGAAAGATACCAGGACTCCTTTCCTTCCTGGTTCTCCCCATTTCTGGCCTCCAGGGTCCTGCTCCCAGGGTGGGCTTGGGAAAGGAGAATGGAGCCCCAAGCTCCCAGAGCTGTGACCGCTGGCCTGATGGATCGGGCTGGGACTGACCGACAGGGCTAGGACAGTGCTGATCTGGGTCAGTAGCACTGTTCTTTCCGGCGGCTCCCTCCACGTGTCAGGCACTCTTATCAGTGTCTGTCCTTGGACCAGCCCTGGTGGTTTCAGGAAGATTCATCATCCAGAGGCACCACTCTGAGTGTGCCTGCCAGATACGGCAGGTGGCGGATGTAAACCCCTTATTCTCAGCCTGGTTTGGGGTTGGCAGCCGGAGTCTGGGATTGCGAGGAAGCACAGCCTACACGGATTCGCCCAGCTACTCAGAAATCCACTGACAGCATTCTAAACCTGTCCTGTGTTGATAGACCTGATTCCTCCAAAAAGTTCCTCTAGAATTGAGGTCGTTTTGTCTCCTCTGAGAAAGAGGTGTGCTTTCTTCTCTAGGACCGTGAGAACTATGTGGCTGTGCTTTCTGATTTGCTCTGGCTGCTGGGAGAATGTGCCAGTTGCTGTCCTTTAGGTCCTCATGTCCTAAGCTGATGTTGTTTCTTTATGTGTTCTTCGTGAGAATTCTGTGTGTCTTCCTGCTGGAGGGAGTTGGGACAGTAGTGGGAGAATGGGGTCTGGAATCTCGTGCCCAGCCCTCCAAGCACTAACACCCCCATTTGTTGGCAGCCCTACGTGCCCCGGATTCTGAACGGCTTGTCCTCGGAGAAAACAGCCCTGTCTCCGCAGCAGCAGACCTATGGCACCATCAACAACATCAGCAGGACTGTTGGGGGGCAGTGTCTGGCACAGAGCTCAGAGGACAGTGTGGCAGCCACCTACCAGGAGGACTGAGGGCTGGGGAACTGCCAGGCTGGTCCAGGCTTGGGGCCCTGGGGAGTCAGGAGGTGAAGAGACACAAGTGGAGAGGCGGCTGGCTCTCGAGCTCAACCAAGTTCACGACTTCTTTCCACCTGTTTTAAGCACAGGCACTCTAAAGAGATGAAAGCAGAAAGGGGCTCTGGCCCTTGGCTGAGCAGGGAGGGCGGGACCGCCATCAGGTGGGGTTCTTTTGGGAGCAAGTGCAGCCCTGGACTCTCGCTTGCCCGAGGCTCTATTTATTTCCAAGTCCCCTTTCTCCTGCACCAGCGCCCAGCTCTGTGGCTGGAATGATGTCCCCAGTGATTTTTAGCAGGATTGCGTGTTGGAACCATATCCCTCCAACCCATCAGTGTGGTGACAGAATCCAGCAAGAAGGGGCTGCACCGTGTGGAAGACCTTCTCCCTCTGAGCATCCAGACACTGCCCACCCTTCTCCAGGCCACACACATACCACCGATAACCAAAGAGGCTGCAGCAGCCACAGGCCTGAGATGGGTTCCTGATTGTGGTCCAGGTCCATCCCAGCTTACCCTCACGGGTACTGGGCCCTTCCCAACCCCGCCCTCACCCCGGGAGTGAGTTGCAGGAAGTAGGAGGGGTGTGGGCCAGCGCCAGGCTGCAGCAAGTTCCTCCACATTCCCACCAGGGTCTTTTTTTTTTCTTTATGTTGCCAGTGACATGGTGGCTGGGTCGGGGTCACCTGCAGCGGCAGGGACAATGAGGACCACTAATAAAGTGCCCACTCAGCCAGGCTGCAGAGATCCAGCCTTCCCTGCCTCTTTATGTCCAGTGCATGGGGCTCCATCTCCAGCCCTTGATTCCATCTGTCTGTTCCCTCAAGAGGGAACAGAGCTTGGGGCCTCTTTGAAGCCAAGAGAGAACTATAGCCACAGAAGGAGGACCGCAGCCCTCTTGCCTTTTTTCTCCTAACCAGACCCCATGGCTGCAATGCTGCTTTGGGCACTTGTTGGAGAAGCTGCCTCCTGACTGCCTCCAGGGGGCGCCAGAGGCACAAGCCTGCAAGATGGGTGCGTCTGGGCAGAGGGGGAGGCTGCCTCCAGTCGGCTGAAGGGAGGCAGTGAGGGTCCCCAGCAGTCACTTGGCCTCGCTGCCTCTGCTCTGAGCTGCCCCTGCCGGGGACCCGGATGGGCAGAGTGGCCTCTTGGTGTCCCCAACAGTCCATCGTGCCTCCCAGCAAGAGTGGAACAGAACACCGCCCCAACACAGGCAGCAGGCCTGCCAGGTCGGCGGGAAGGGGCGCCCTACGTGGGATCAGGGCTCAGCATGTCACTTGTTCCAAACACTCTTAGAAGAAAAATCATTTATTATCAAAGCCATGTTGCTTAGCAAGTGTGTGGGGAGTTCAAGTGGAAGGGTGAGCCTGCGGTCCGAGCACAGGCAGGGGGTGGCAGCAAACACATTCCTGGGAAAGGGGGCATCTCTCCCCACAGAGGACCAGAGATGGGGGGTGGTCTCCCTGCCAGCCCCACTGCTACTGGGAGCTGGGCTGCAAGACCAGGGGCTTCTCTGTAAAAGGGCGGGTGTCGGGAGGGAGCCGGGGCTGCCGGGGAGGTGACAGCCAGTTCCCGCTGGGGTCACTGCCGCTCCTGCAGCCCCACGAACTTGCGGATGTCCTGAGCGAGCAGCTCTGGCTCCTCAAAGGCGGCAAAGTGGCCCCCACGGGGCATGTAGGAATACGAGATGAGTTTCGGGTACTTGGACTTCACCCACTTTTCTGGAAAGTGCATCAGCTCACAGGGGAAGGCAGCAAAGCCCGTGGGCACGTACACCTTCAACCTGGAAGAGATGGAGATCTCACTGAGGGACAGGCAGGGCCAGCACTCCCACACAGCAGGTGTTCAGGGAGCTGGGGGGGCGGTCAGATTCGCTCAGCCACATGGATCCATAAAAGGACAGACCTAGGTTTTAAGCACCTACCTCAGCTCCAACCCCATAAGGACCCTCTTTTCTGGAAGGGCTGCCCCAGATGAAAAGTGTGGCCAAGGTGGGAACAGTCTCCAACTCCCACCTTTGCTCCCTTTTCTCTTTGCTGCTGCCTGAGGGTCTCCCTATGAGATCTGGAAAGGGGTCCAGGGAAGTTCTAGAACCATTGTGCCACCTAAGGCTGGACTTGGCCCTCGGGGAGCCTCTGGGGATGTTTGGGGACCAGGCCTGGCAGCAAAGGGAGCTGCTGTCTCCATTAGCTTCTGTGAGCTAATTCTAAAGAGAGGCCCAACACCCCTGACCTCCTTTAAATTGTGTTCCTATTCTACACCCCTGGTGTGCACCCAAGGCTTGGCTGCACTTTTCAGTATCAAATGTCCTCCTTTGAGTCCAAGTAGGCCATCCCCCTGCTCTCTGTCTCGGAGGTACCCTCCCCAGAAGCCCCGCTGCAGGCCCAGCTGCACTTACGTCTCGTGCTTATTGACCTGTCCCAGGTTCTCCTTGTAGAAGCGCTGGGAGGAGGTGATGGTGCCCGTTGTCCAGTAGAGCATGATGCCCGTCAGCAGGTCGTCCAGGGAGAACTTCCTGGGAAAGCAGACCAGAAGGCCACTCTCAGTGCCCGGTGCACCCGAGAGCTGCCGCTTTCAAGCTGCGTGCTGGGTACTGTCTCCACCTGGCACTCCTCCTCGGGCCTCACTGCCCGCTCAGCGATCTTATTTCTCCCCGTGCCACAGGCAGGCCTGGCCCAGGGTCACCAGTTACCATGACGACAGGTAATGTAGCATGATGACCATGTACAAGGCAGGCGGTCATCCTGGGTGGTGTCAGCCTACTCCATCCCTGACCTGCCTGCAAAGGTTCGGGCCAGATGGAAGGAAGCAGGTGTGGTCACCGAGCCAGGGGCTTGGCTGGTCACCGCTGGGTGGTCTGTGGGAGGATGCTGCAGCCTCTGCTCAACCCCCCCTGCCTGGTCCTGAGCAGAACCTGGTCTCTGGGCAGCCTCTGGGGCCCTGGCACCAGGAGAAGCGGGCGGGGTCAGCAGCTTCTGGGGCATTTGTATTCACCAGCCCCCAGCTTGCCTCCTGCCAAACCTGTGTCATCCCAGGAAGGAGCCGTGGGCCCTGCAGAGACCCTCCCCCACATGCTGAGCACAGGACACCCCTTTTCTTCTCCAGCCTGGGAACCGCTGAGCAGGTGAAGCCCAAGCAGACTGTAGGGCCCCACACTCCGGGAGGAAGTAATCATTTGGTACCTGATGTTGGAGCACGTGGCCTGTGGACTCTGGAAAGAGCAATACACCCTCCCGGCCCGCCCGCCCCTTGGGCCCTCGCCCTCTCCTGTCGGTGCTCAGCCTGCATCCAGAGCCCAGAACGTTCCACAACCTCCCCCTCTGCCCATGTCAGCAGCTGCCTCCCATGGGCTGTGTCTCCTGGGCCTCCATTTCCTCACTGTTCTCCCCAACTCAGCTTCCACTCACCAGACTCTGTCCTTGTCTCCTGGAATAACCGCCCACCACCCCTCAGCCCCTCTAGCTTCCCTGACACGCACTCACCCCTTCGGTGCCCTCATCCTGGGGGCCCTCTGCCACCTTGAGCCCCCCAACAGCCCACAGACCCAAGGGGACGCCAGCACTCCTGACAATCATGCTCGCCAACCTCAGTTGCCACATCCTCAGGGGGTCCCGACAGCTGCGTGCCCACCAACAGCCTCCTGCCCACCTACCTTCCTCTGTGAGAAAGTCTAAGTTCAAGGAGCAGCCGTCCCGCCCCGACCGTTCCCTGGTGGATTCCAGATTCGGGGCTCAGGGGGAGCTGTTGCTCCCTTGTCCTGAGTCGTAAATCCCTCCATCTGCCTCTTCAGGCCCAAACGCCAGTCACCTCCCACATTGTCCCCAGGCCTTCCCTCCCTCCCTGCCCTGCTCTCTCTCCCACCCTCCTCGCCCTGCACACCGAACTATCCTTGCCGCCCAGGCCTCGTGGGGAGGGTCTTCTCCCTAGGTCTGTCCTCCCAGACGTGCTCTTCTGGAGCCAGTAAGGCTCCTCCCAGCACCCCTGGATGCTGCTCTGCTGTGCTGTCTTGAGGAGATCTTCCCCGTGACTCCAACTACTAACTCACCGGGAACACTGCTCCAATTCGACCCCTCACATAAAGCTCCGTATCTGTGAGCCCAGTTACCAAGTGGACACCCCTGCCCAGGCATCCTGCCAGCATCTCCCACTCGGCCTGTCCGTGACAGAAACCAGCTCAGCCTCTTGGCATCCCTTCCAAGCCCACTGCCTTTGGTCCTGCACATCCACCCCATCCTCGATGCCTGGAGTAAAGAACATTTGCTGCTCCGCCTGCAAGGCTCCTCAGCTCTAGGCAATGAGCTGAGTTGATTCAGCAGAAGCCAATTTGCCAAAAATGGTCAAAGGTCAGTTCGCTAAATGTACTTGTTTACTTCAGCTATTTAGATGCAGTTGGTCAATCATATTTTTATCCTCAGAACTGCAATCTAAGGAATGTTCAATTCACCTCTGCCCTGCTCCCAACTAGTGCAGCCTGAGACAGGAGCAGAGAAAGGAGAATCTGAGGGGCACAGGAGGGGGACAGAAGAAGGTATTAATGTTAAATATGAAAATACAGTAAGAAAAGAGCCTTCTCAGAGATAAAGAATATCTTCATAAGACACCTTTGTATTCAGGGATTATATTTCTCTTAGCCCTCAGTCCCTCATCTCTGAAATCCTAGATCTCTACCCACGGCAGCATGGAGCAGGGATAGAGATAAAATAGACATTTTTTAAAACGCAGTTTTGATAACAAAATTAAAACCAGTCAATGAAAGCGGAACAGTTACAAGAAGCACTTACACTTGGGAACTGGCTTTTAGCGAGTTGGCCAAGTGCTTCCACCTCCCCTGCAGCTCCAACCACAGCTTGAAAACTACCATAGCAACCACTTCTACCCTCCTGCAGCTAGCGATCTTTCTAGAACACAGGTCTGATCACATCTGTCGGCTGCTCAAAGCTTTGGTGCTCCAGGCATGCAGGTGGGCAGAAACTGCAGGGGGCAGCCTGTGGGCCGTCTGGTTGGCCTCACACCTGGTTCCAGGTATCTGTGGGCAAGGAACAGGGCCAGACCCCTTGGCAAGGTGCTCGTAGTGGCATTCCATCAACCCCTGGGTGCTGCCCCACCTATTCAAACTCCTATTCATCCTTTAAGGCCCAGATCAAATAGATTCTCCCAGTCATTTCCTCTCCCTGTCTCTTAAACAAAGCGAATCCCCCTTTCTCTGTGCCCCCACAGTCTTTTGCATGGATCTTTAGAGCTCATTTCACCAGACAACTATTTGTGGAGCACCTACTCTATGCCCACCTTTACCACCTGGTGGCTAAAATGGTAAAGAACCTGCCTGCGATGCAGGAGACCCGGGTTTGATCCCTGGGTCGGCAAGATCCCCTGGAGAAGGAAATGGCAACCCACTCCAGTATTCCTGCCTGGAAATTTCCATTGACAGAGGAACCTGGCAGGCTACAGTCCATGGAGTCTCAAAGAGTTGGACATGACTGGGTGACTTTCACTTCATTTCACCTCACTTAGTACATGCTCAGTGTTATTTTAGGTGTTGGGCATGGCTTAGACCAAGTCCCTACTTCCAGGGCCAGATCCATACACTCCTTCTCACATATTAGACACTGGTGCTCTGAGTATCTCTGAAGGAATAAAGAAAGGGCTGGGCCCTGGAGCAGGTGGGTCAGGGCCAACCTTGATGAAGCTCAAATCAGGCCAGGGACCTGGGAATCATGCGCTGTAGAGGCTGCAGACATTAATGTTCC